CACTGCCACTGCCAGCTACTCACTGATGCCCAAGCAGCACAGTGGAATGACTGGCGTTTGTTGGTGCCCCCACCATGATCATGAGCCCTTTTTCATTCTTTGCAGCTTCCCCTTCTTTATTTCACCCAGAGATTGCTTTTCATGATCTTCGACAGTTCGTGACAAAGTGTGCAAGCAGTGTATCACAGAGGCTGTCACTGGTTTTCACCCCTTCTTAATGTTTTTCAGTGCAAGAAATTTCAAAGACTTTCAATGGATTTTTAAGTCAGACTTGTGCAAATGTGCACATGTGCAGTTGTGAAATGACGAACCTCACCTAGAAAATGTCTGGAGGGTGGGGGCAGGAGTCTCCCCTGTCAAAGTACAGCAGGCGTTGACCCAGCCGCCAAGACCTTTGCTTTCTCTTGACAGCTATCAGAAAGCAGGAGGTCAAGAGAAACCAAGCCACACATAATTTTGCTCATCAAAGAGGGTGGCCAGACTTCACCCTCTTCACAGTCGGATTCTGGTGGTGAAAGTAAAGCTCTGGTAGTCTCTCTGGGTTCGTGCCCATGGGAATTGCCTGCTGCACTTTGACTGCAGACAAACCTTCCCCAGGACATTGCCCAGGCAAGGCTCACCATTTTTGATCTACGCCTGGGCAAATCCAACTAAAAAGTTAACAACATCCTGCCTAATCTTGGAAGCTAAGCAGGGTGAGGCCCGGTCAGAATTGGGATGGTTGACTTGAGTATATGATTCTATGATGATTGCTGTAAACTGCCCAGAGAGCTTTGGCTATGGACAGAATAATAATAGTAGCAGTAATAACAACAACAATAGCAGCTAGATCAGACCAATGGCCACATCTAGACCAGCATCTTGTTCTTAGTATAGCCAGAGAGATACCCATGGGCAGCTCACAAAGAAGGCCTGAGCATAATAGCTCCCTCCTGGTCATTTTTCCAGCAATCAGTATTCAGAAACATACTGCCCCTGGTATTATTATTATTAATAATAATAATAATAATAATAATAATTTATTATTAAGAATAATAGTAATAATAGAGAATTGCCATAGGTTGAAGAGGACTTGATGGTGCACAACAAATATACTGCTTATCATATCTAAAAAACCTCTCCAAGTGGTTTAACAAAGGAAAATTAAAATAGATTAAAATACAGTATAATAAATACAAAAGCATCAAAACATTAAAATCCAACTGCTCAAAGCACCTTCATTATCAAAAATAGTAGCAAACACCTAAATATACAGCATAGTTCAACAGATACTGAGTAGGTCTGAGTAGATGCACCAAAGTGATTTCTGTGGATGCATTAAAGGACTGAAGATCAAACATCTGGAGGGCCATAAGTTCACCATCTCTGCATTAAAGCATGACATCGACCCTTGAGCTTCTCATTAGCAATCTCACAGAGAGGATAAAAAGATCATTATTTTTTAATTCAAAAGGATATCTGGAGAGTGTTGGACTCTTGCTAAATTTCTAAGAAACTTTTGAGCTACAAACATCCTTGGTGTGCTTTCCTGAATGTCTCTTGTACAGGTTGTTAGGGACAACCTCCCCATCCCCCATTCTTTTAAATGAACTATAAGTCAGAATCACTTCATCTGAACTGCAGATGATATGTAAGCGCTAGTTCCAACCTGATGTTGTGCCTTGCCCTGATAGCCTGTTACTACTGGCCCCGGTATTGCAACATAATTAGGAAGTGTGAATGAATGGAGTTGAACTTACAGCCAAATTCTAGCAGCTTCCAATGCAAAAACTAAGACCTGAAGATATGAAGAATACAATAGCTGCAAATCCTACAGTGGTATTGGTCACATCGCTCCAGGACTGCATGCCATGGGCCTAATGTAATGAATTGCTATACAGGGATGTGGATTTCGTTCAGTTCCTGTTTCTGGTCTTAAACTACCACTAAAACAGAGATGGGCTGAAGGCCTAAAGAAAGGTCCAGGCAGAGATGGCTAGGTGGTTGGTAGGTAAAGAGCCTGTACAGTCTTGTGGGCACTTTTCTTGATATGCTAGTTGGATTAATGATCTGAAGGTTCAGATCTGGATCCTGCTTTACTCATTCTTGCCCTATAAAAGAATGTTCATTAATGTTCTTTCAGCTTCCTCTTGAAAATGGTGCAACAGGTTCCTCAAATAAGTGCCTTCCAGATGTATTGGACTACGACTCCAATTGTTTCCAAGCAGCATGGGCAGTGGGCAGAAATGCTAGGACTTTTAGCCCAAAACATCCAGAAGGTATGAAGCTGGGGAAGCTGTTGTATGGTAATGACTTGTACCAGGTTGAGGAAGCTCCTGTACATGCCCTGCTTAGATACGTTATTCCTTTTCTCAATACTTTGCAACAGGGCAGAGATTTCTGAACTAACACTTACCACCTTCTTCCACTGACACTGCTGCTTTAAAAACTGCTCTTCAAATGCGGTTTCCCTACCGGTTGTGTAGCTACTTCAGAATTTCTGCGATAGATACTTAAGAGTATCTCTTAGCTTAGCAAAGATGCAAGTGATTGTGATCCTTGTATACACCCCGCCTCCTGCTGCATTCCATATAAATAGTAAATTGCATAAGTTTTGATATCCGTTAGGAAGACAATCATGTTAGGAGGGGTAAATATGAAAAACAAGGCAAGATGACCAGGATGGCCTTGACCGGAGAACTCATTTGAAAAGCAGTGCAGTCCTCCAGATGTTGCTGGACTACAGCGGCTGCCAGCCATTCCCAGCCTAGCCAATGGCACAGGACTGTTGGAGCTGCAGTCACACAATGTCCACAGGGCCGCATGTTCTCCAGCCTGCCCTGCAGCAGTGCTTAGTTAGCTGGCCAAACAAGCACCTTTAGCATTTAAACATCAGACCAGATGTACAGGGAAAGCCATTTTCTACAGCAGAAGTGGGCAGACTCTTTCCCTTCCAAGGGACAGAATCTGCAAGACCTGTGTTGTTTTTGACTAGACCCCTCTCCATTCACCATAGGAGCCGGGCGCAAAAGAGCAGCGCAAGCAGAGGAATGTATAATAATAATTACGCAACATGGTGCTTCCAAGGTTTGTTACCAGCACCAAGCTCACAAATCTTTCCACACAAAGATCCACTCCTACTTCCCCCCAAAGCATTATTTTTAGCACCCTAATACAGTGTGTTTGTATGGCTGAGAGGTGGGGAGTGGGAGAAAGCTTTCCAGTTACTGAGATTGTTCACACATTGGGAGTCGGAAACCCTTACAATCTATGTCAAATCACCCAGAAAAAACCACCAGTAGATCCTGACTATCTCCTGTTTCCCCCTGCCCAATAAGGTATGAAGCAACACAGGAGAGCCACCACCATCCCATGCTTTTAGCAAGTCTAGAGGCCTGTCCTGCCTATATGTCCACGCCTGCCTATTGTGGAAGTGAATGCAACATCAATATGGGAAAATCTCAACTCAGTACTAGGGAGCATAGTGTCCCATGCTCAACCTCTGAGGCCTTCCTTCCAAGTGCCACTCCCACAAGAAGGCCAGAGGGCAGCAACTAGGGAAAGGGCATTTCCTGTGGTGGTCCCCCATCGTTAGAAGAACTTCCCCGCTGCAGCCTGCCTGGAGCCAAATTTGCCACCTTTTTGGCACCAGGTCAAACCAGCCCTCCGTGCAGAGGCCTTTAAAGATCTCCTTGGTTCTCCAGGGGTCTGAGGCTTTTCCCTGGGTCTTTTTATTGTATTTTTAAACTGTATTTTAGAGCTGTTTTAATTTTAAACTCTTTAAACATTGTTTTGTGTTATTTGTATTTTATTGTTTTGTTTTATACTTTGTTGTAAACTGCCCAGAGAGCTTTGGCTGTGGGGCAGTATAGAAATGAAATGAATAAAAATAAATAATAACATGTGGACCATCTTCAACATCTTCACAGCATGATAGAAATGACTATTTCTAGGATGGGTCAAGCTTCACCTCTTGACTTATCCTGTCATGCCACTGGTAGAAGCACATGACTGTATGCAGACAGGGAAGCTGCCTCAAATTTGCAGGGATCAGGTACAGGGCCCTTGCACAGAAATATCAGGCCAAGGGAAATGTTTGCCCCAGTTCTGTAGAAAATAAATATTCCCAGCAGTCTGACAGGTGACAGAACCCAGAACTAGCTGACACTTTTTACCAAACAGTGTTCTGTCTCCTTAACACGGCTCCAGCTTAGTCATATACAGCAACCCAGAAGAGTATCAAAGGTATTTGTCTCTCAATATCATCTGTCCCTTCCCCAACTCAGAACAAGCATTCTAAGCAATTTATCAAGGATGGAGAGAAAATAGATCTGGCTCTACCAACAGAACTCTGGGTAATTTGCAGTAGACTAGTAAGGAAATCCGATCCCCAAAAGTTTAACAATAGCAGCAACAGAAGTGGAGCTCACCCAGAGTGGATTTTTGTATTGGACTGTGGAAGCCTCATTCACTTCCTATATTCAAAATTAATACTGCTCGAGTTGTGCCTTTCATTCTACTTGGTGGACCTGGGTGGTTGAGGCAAAGGAAAAGCAAAGCAGATGCTGGAAGCCTGACAGTTGCCTACTTCTGCAATAGACTACTCAAAATGGGGAATAAGCACACTTTCTGGGCTACAGGCATATTTGGCAAATTAAGAAGCTGTCCTGGGCATCAGCACAAATTAAATGTCACTGGAGACATGACAAAGGACAAGTAACACTGTCCAAAAGACTGAATATAAGACAGGCAAGTCATCTGAACCCTGTGTTCAGCACCAACTGAAACCTATTTCACAGCAATCCCAGTTGCCAATAAAAAATGTGCTGATTTTTTTTTTTAATGTGGAAGGTGTATAACACCTTGGCAGGTGCCAAAAAAGTGCCTGAGGGAGCACTGATGTCCATGGGCCCCACCCTGCCTACCTTTAACCTAAATAAATGGATTTACCCCACCATAGATTCATAAAACACCTTCTGCTTAGCACTTCAAAGACACCAGAATAAGGAAGAGCTATTTACCTGCTGTTGAATTTTTCAGGATGTTTTTCTCTCATCATGTGGAATCTGTGTGCAATGGATGCATCCTAGAGGGAGAGGGAGAGGGAGAGTCTGTGATGGACAGAATCAGATAACTGAAGTCTCCCAGAGAGTGAAGACAGCCTTGCCAGCATTCACACTCAGATGGATGTGATTAACAAAATGTCAGAAACTGCACATGTTGCAGTACTTTAGCCCTTAAATTGTATCCCTTCTTTTTTAACTGATCTTATAATGAATGTTGAAGTTAGTTTATCCACATACATCCAAATTTGCCCAGCAGCAGCCACATGTGATTAATTCAGTGTCACCAGGCCTTGTGAATTTCCACTATATCCTACATACTTCAAAAATTTGTGTCTTAAAGATGCAGATAGAGAAAGGTTGCCTTTAGACTGATATTCGGAGGACAAGAATCCATTATGTCTATTATTCACCAAAATCCACTTTGTAACCTTAAAACAGGGGAAGAAATAAATGTAATAAGGATTTAAAAAAAAAGAACAGCGCAGGAATCAATGCAATAAAATGTCAAAATAGTTACGTATGGCATGATTTTTTTGGCACACTGACAAAAGTGTTATCAGCCACATCTATCATGTGGTTAAATACAGGAATCAGGAATGCTCTGTCTGAGCAAACACAAAATTCAAGTACTTTTTGAATAGCCACATAATACAGAGCGTGTGGTCCCAAATAGTAACATAAGGGTCTCTCCTGCCATTCCTGGGCCCAGATTGCCTTAGGAATGTGCTTTACTCCATCCAGGGATTAGCAGGCTGTTCATCACCCACATCTCAGTGATGGGGTGCAGAGATGTCCCTAGGCAGGGGCTTTGTGAGCTTGTGGCCTGATCTATTTGTAATCCAAAACTTCCTGTCAGTGATATAGCTGCTGGCCCACATTTCTCACAGTCCAAAAATAAAAGGAGGAGAAGATGGGAAGCAGCATGTGGCAGCCGAGACCCACTGAGGTGAAACAGCTTGTCATCCTCCTCAATGGTAGTATTTAAAGGCACCTTGTCAGCACTGAGATTCCATAGCCTGCTTATTTACATCTCTTTCCCTGCTAATAGCACCCGGCTAGTGATTACAAGGCACAACCGAACTATGGATGCAGTGCTGTATATTGCACTAAAGAAGTCATTTTCCTGAAAAGAACTGCAAAGCATTAAAATGATTTCAGGCTATTTAATGCAATATTAATCATGGCTTACAGAATCTAAAAGGTCAGCACATCAATTATAGCCATTTGTAAGGCATGCTGCTCATGTCTGTAACACATTTATAACAATCATCAATCACTTATAAATGGAACCTTAATATAACATGAGAGCATTTTTAACAAATGTTTCACTGGGTTTTTTTAATCAGCTGTTTCTCTCACCATGTCAGAATGGTAAGCTACTAGTCAGCTGTTGTGAGGAGCTTCTTAGCAACCCTACAACATAGGTTAAGTGATATCTCTTATAGGGCCACCTCCTATCAGAGAGGGGGTATGCAAGCCATTGAGGTGCACTGAATTCTCAGTTGGGCAGAATAGCAATTTCTCTGACAGTGAGGGCAATGCATCTGTTACTACAGCAAGAACTTTGTTAATAAAGACAAATTCTTGCAAATGCAATTACCAAATAACATGCTTCTACTCATAATCCAGGCACTGAACCACCACAATCTGCCTGTACCTCACATGCATGGGGCAATCAATCAGGAAATGGGTTAAACCTAAATCACAGCACACTATGAAAGTTCACAGTGAGTTAACATAATCATGTGTTTTAGGATTCTGCAAGGGTTGTTTAATCCTCTCATAACACCACTCATCATATTTGCACAACATAACAACCTCCAAGTGAGATTTGCACATGCAGCCTAGTGGCCAGGGGCATCACAGCTTGTTGTGGTTTATATAACCCACAGTGGGTCACCACATGTTATTCAAGCCTGATCAGTGCCAGTTATTGACAAGCCATGGTTTCAGGGGCTAGTTCCATTTCCAGTCACTGCTAGTCTGTCCTGACTAGCAGGATCAGCAATGGACAACATACTATGGTTAAAGCTAAAGCTTCCCAGCAACACAAAGGCAGGGTTTGGATGACACACTGCACCTCATCCCAAGTTATTTAACTCACAATATATTGCACATCTGTGAATGCCAGGTTGCATTTGCAGCAGTTGCTCAGCAGTTGTCATGTTGTATGAACCTACTGAGCTTGGGCTATGCAAAGGTTCAATAATCCTAAAACTGGCCATGGGTTGTATGAGGGCTGTTGAACCCTTGCATAATCCATGCACTCCAGGTTTACAGAACACCAAGCCCCACAAGCCGGGGCTGCATATTCAAAATGGCAGCCATGCACGTCCTACAAGTGCTATTGTCTTACCATGAGTGGGTCTAATATTTATTTAATCATTACTCACTGGCATTTGACAATAGGACTATTGCCGATTCTCTTATGAGTGCTTCCAGATAAGGCTTTAATCATACCTTATCCACAGACTTTTACCAGGGGAGCCTAAAATAACTGTTCTCCACTCTTAACTGTTTTGAGTTTTCCCACCACTTCTTTTGTCTTGTTCCTTATTGCAGAAGGTATATTTAGGTTACAAAAGGTGGACTAACTGTACAATGCCTTCTGATTGGTAGTAATAGGAACCTTCAGTCTAGAAGCACACTTTCACTCAAAGCAAATGACTGCTTTATTGAGGAAGAACAAAATCATCATTTCCTTGAAGCACCATGTTCCCCACAATGACAGCCAGTGTATTTACCCTCTGCATAAAATTATCACTTTCTTGCAAAAAGCAGCTGAGGGTAGACATACTACATCTTGCGCTGTACAACATATATTGCAGCTGAAAATATCATAATGAAATATTCCTGCATAAATACACAGTATATGTAAAAGCAAGAGTGTGAACTAGAATTTTTTCCCCTTGTATATAATTTTTACATGCAGTTGTTTTGGGTTTTTTGAGTGAAGTCCAAAAAGGTACATTCCAGACACAGGCTTACTTTCCCAACTACAATCTGTGAAAGCCAGATCTCAGCATGATATCTACCTTGGAAATCTTTGGAAACCTCATCTCCTTCCTAGACATTTCTGTAGCAGGCAGCCTCAGAACGGGAGCCTAGTTGCATTGTTATTCCTATTCTGGCCTGACTGGACATTTAAGTCCAGTAGCTGGATACTCCTCCTCCTTGACACAAGCCTATTTTCATATATAAATTTATCCTTGCTATATCCATTATCCAGTTCTGCTCCTGATTCCTGTACCAACAAGATTCTTTCAGATGTCAGCTGACCAGGTCACATGGAGCCTTTTGGAACTCAGTTAACCAACTGCTAAGTCTCATGGTACTCCTGTAGGTTAGCTCCTTGATGCCTCCTCTGACCCACATTATACTTAGTTGATTGCTCCACTTTGAGGTGTGAGCTTAAAGTCCTTTCTTTTAGTACTGAATGGTGACAGAACATGCAAAATCCTCTAAGAGGCAACCTCCGACTTCAGAATAAGTAAAGACTGCAATAACTTTTTTTCTCTCTTCTCTAACAGAACTGTCTGAACTAAAGACTAATATCTACTTATGCAAGAGAGAGTCTGTGATAAATTTCCATGAGACCTAAGAACTATCACAACCTTGGAATCTCCATCTCAGGAACAAACTTACACTTGCAGGTATGAGCATCCCCATAAAATCATCATGAGTTGGATGAAGGTGTTGTTTATGATGTGTCCTGCTGTCATGCCTCGGGGTATTTTCAGAGGAGGCTCCCACCACTGTTCTGTGACATTCAAGGGATTTTATGGGGTGCGGGCAGGCATTGCTGAGTGTCACCTGTAACCCTACCATATTTTCCCACTCTTCTTCCATCTTTTGTCCTTTACTGGTAATATAATACTTAATAGTCAATCCATTAAGGGAAGAGAGACAGGATATCTGCCCAATATCCTCTGATGGTTAGTTCTAAGGCCCCTCCATGTGGAAGCACCCCAGAGTGTCTGTAATATTTAAAAAACTCACAAACCCAACAAGACCACAGGCAAAGAGAGAAGCAAGTAACCAAGAATATTAAATCATTCTGGGTCATGAGCACATCTAGGCACTATCACAAAATCTCCTGAGCACTACCACAAAATGGCTACCATGGTGCATATGACAAAGGACAGGCAACTGACCCCAAAACCTGAATAAGGGCAAGACTGGGGGCTGAGCCGACTAAACAACTCTGTTCAATCCAGTATTCAGCACCTACTGAAACTTATTTCACAGCAATCCTGGCTTCCATTAAGAAAATTTGGTAATTACAAAAACAGTGAGAGAAGGCAGGGCACCTTGTCAGTTGCTAAGCAAGATGCTTGGAGGTGCACTGGTGCCTGCAGGTACCACATTCCCTTCCTCTGATGTCTAACATGGGCAAGAATACCTATTTTATACTATCTTCTGCTCCCTAAATCCATAGTCTGTCTCCAGTCCAACTCAACTTCAAAGAGCTGTTACCAGGAGTTCTGATACTGCACTGCAGTGCAGGAAATAAGGAGGGAGACCATAAGAATGAGAATTGTACAGATTGCTTACCACTCCTATGGAGAAATAATTGTTGATGATGCTGTATGGGACAGGATCCCCATTCTCCTCTTTGTCATTGGGGATGACATCAATTTGCCATCGGTCCAGCATTACCTCTGTACTGTGCTCAATGTCCTTCAAAACTTTTATCAAGTTGCCTCCTTCATAACCTTGGGAAGTAGCAAAATGACAGCACATAAGAAGGAACAGAAGGTCAGTGGCAGAATTTTCCAAACATTTGTGGTGCAATGCTAGTGGTTGCTGTGCAGCTGGAAAAAAGTGTCCTAGCAGCGAGCACAGCCAGAAAAGAAGGGCACGTGCTGGAAATAAGTCCAGTAATGATTGGGCCAAATAACACTGACAGTGGATGGGAGAGAGCAGTTCGACAGATACGTGAAATCGTTAGCTGGATGTGTCTTTGAGCTACACTGTGGATGTTATGGAATCTGGGCAAATGTATGCTCTGAAAGGCCACACTTCATGGTACCAGCAGATCAAAAGCTGTCAGTGATGAAGAGGCTCCAGCGGTGCAGAGTACGGAAAATGGCAGGCGGCACTAGAGGCAGCTGACAGGTTTCAGTAGCACATGGGACAGCTGGCAGGAGGGATCACTGGCAAGTCGTGCTGTGAGGTCGTGCTGAATGACCGTCCAGTGTTGGGCTGATCTGGGAAACTTACCTCCTCCCCATCGGAGACAGCGTGCAAGGTCGTTGCCAGTCCCTAGGGGCAGGATGGCCACAGGAGGGTGCTTTGCTAAATTTATCTTATCTGCAAAAAAGAAGTAGCCATTACAGATCCACCAGTGAATGGCTGGGTGTGACTTTGTTTTTGGTTTTTTAAGTGAATCTTTCAAAGTAACAGAGAGGAGTAACAAATTTAGGCATACAGGTGACTCAGTTTCTTTACAGCCTTTCTGACCACTCAGGGTCCCTATTTTGTACAAACATGATTATTTGATCAAGCTGTCATTCACTACGCTAAAAAGTCACAGCATATAGTTCCATATGTCTTAGGAGGTCATTATGTATTCTCCTCAGTATTAGTGAATTCAGTAAATGGATAACATAGCCCATAGGAAATAACAATTTCTTTTTGGCTTCTTTGCACCTGAAGATGTTGTGACTTTCTGCATTAGTGCAAGGCCTCAAATTTTCTGTTTCCATATGACAAAAGAAAGTTCATTTGCTGATTTCCAGTTAGAAGCTATAACCAAGTTGGCTGCTGTCCAAATAAAAATCAGGATCTCTTATATTAGGCTCCATATAAAGAAATATAAAGGGTCCCAGTGTATTCTTCACACAAAGGAAACTGTTTAGAGGACTTTATGTTTGCTGAAGGCAGCTTAGGGCCACACTAGGGCAAATGTTAAATGCATATTTACTTTTAAAGTAAAAGTGCAGGTTAAAAAAAAGAAATAAAATGTAAATATTAGCTGGGGGTAGGGGAGACTGATAAGGTAGGGGAGACTGATAAGGAACCTTTTCTTTTCCTGCCACATTCTTCAAGAAAAGAATTTTCCATGGTGATGGTGTATGTTCTAAATTTCTCAAATTTAAGAACATCACTAACTCCCACTGTCTCAGAATTTTTCTTTATTTCTTGAAAGCAAGTGAGTGGTAAGCGAACACCATGGCAGGGCTGAACAGCTACATTTCAAAAGATTTTTAAGAAAGAAGGCACCAAAGAGCATTATGGAGAAATGGCTGGATCTCCAGCTATCACTGGACTACACTTCCCATCAGCTATAGCCAGGATAGCCAACAGTGAGAGAGGATGGGATTGCTATCCAATAATGTCTAGAAGGCCAAATATCTCCACCTCTGCATCAGGGGGAGATACTAGAAATCTCTTTTAAAGGATCATCCCATGCCTCATCCCCTTGTTTCAACAAACACCAGCTTCGAGTTCTGAGACTCAACTCCTGAACCCCTGAAAACACAACTTAAAAGGCAATTATGCTGCAGCATTCAGAAGAGGAAATAAGCTCTAGAATAGGTTTGCTGCCAAATTTTTGGCTGGGTAATGGCAGTAAATATGTTAAACTCAGCTCCTTGTGCTGCAGATCTCCTCTTGGGCTGCCTGGCTCAGGATCTTCCAGGCTCTTGTTTGCACTTTGGAAGCCCAGTGCTCGCCCTGTTTGCACACCAGAATTCTCTGCACCAAGGGTCCCCAATGTGGCACCTCCAGTGGTGCCTGTGATGATGCTCCTAGCATGAAGCCCATGGGCACCCTATCCATCCATCCATCCATCCATCCATCCAAGTAATACACACACACACACACACACACACACACACACACGAATTTGTACAAAACGCATGCAACTTCCTAGCCATTAGGCTTCAAAATAGCCAAATAAATATCCATTTCACATTGGCATCTATAAGTCACTTGTTAATATACAAAAATAACAGTCCCTTTTCTTATAGGTGGTAAGTGTTTATCCTTCCCATTTTGTAATATCAGTCTTGGAGAAGATTGCAGAAAATCTGTTTCCCTTTCCATTTGTTAATTTCTGTGAAAGAGGTAAATAAATTGAGGAGGGTGTACATCAATGCACGTTAAAGACTGTTCCAGTACAAAATTAATCTGTGTAATAACCTTCTGCAAAAAGAAGTGACTAATGGACTTTGTCCGAAGATATGTTTAAAAGAAACATCAGCAATGAACTGAATTAGACAATCCCTCCCCTTAATAGGAGAGGTTGCAGTATGCTTTACACATGCAACAAATGAGACACGGTTTAGGAGTCACAGGCACAATAGGGAGATGCTACAGCAGCAGACCACAGATTAGATATTTTGTGGTGATGCTCACAGCAGTTTTTCAAATTCCCAAGTGTGCCCAAAAGTCCAGAAGGGTTGGGACTCCTGCTCTGCACTGATATTCATCTTGCTGCCCTCACTCTCTCATTGGCTGTCAACAGGCCTCTTTTGTCTTTGCAGGAGAACTTCTAGGCATCCTCTGCCAAAGCTCCTTATTGCTGAGGATGCCTGGAAGTTCTCCTACAAAGGAACTCCTTATTGCTGAGGGAGTCATGAGAGAGACTGCATGGAGTGGGGAGGTCAGAAATGGTTAGTAGTCAATGCAATGGGAGGAGTTAAGTCCCATTGAAATCAGGGAGTAGCATTGCATAGTGTTGATCTTTCCAAGTTTTTGCTTTGGTAAAACATACGCCATTAGCATGGTTTCAATTTAGACAACACTTAGCTCAGTGCTAGACACTAAAGAACAATTACGATGATGTAAAATGTAATAATAGGGATGCAATTTGTGTGCACAGCACTGCATCTAGCTCTCAATTTGGAATCCTTTTCAGAGTTTCAAAATTCACTTTTTTCATCATTTCCATACCAGGCAGAGTGGGAGGTAGGTGGGAAAACTCCAGCCTTAGACCCTTCCTCTTTTTCTTTCCCTTAGGAAGCAATGATCCCAAACATATTAGCTGCCTCACACATCTAAGAGAATTTAATTTACCTATGCAGTCCAGGATCCATCCAACGGTCCCATCCCCTCCACAAGCCAGAATTCTAAAGTCTGGTGCATCACAGAAAAAAATTAATCTAAGAAAAAGTAAAAAGCAAAGGAAGGGAAACATATTAGAATTGGTTGCTTATCATAAAAAGGAAACAATCCAACACCTAGATTGCTACTTTTCATGTTCTAAAATAGAACACAAAAGCGAAAGCCCTGCAGTTTGTGAGTCTTCAATAATGCAACTCTTGCTAATTCTTATGTTTACAACATCACTTTTAAAGACCCAATGAAATCAAGTAAACAAAAAACTACGAAGGATCCATTTCAGAATATTACCCAGAAATGAAAATATACCACAACTGTACTAGGAATGCAAACTCCAGTTTGTCAGAAAGATTGGCATGAAGGGGAAGCTGCATTCCATGCCTGTTCATGAAATTTTTGGGTAATTCGTGGAAGTTTTGGCATCCTACATTTTTGGAATTTTTTTGGAACCTACATCCTATTGAAGGCAAGGTAACAGTTCTTGGCTGTAAATATTTTTTCTGGCATGTATCATTTGTTTTCTGATATCTGCACATCTTCCTTTACGTGTCCATGGACACCCCTGACTTGAAAGGCTAGTTGTAGCAAGACAGGCAGCGCATAGATTATTTATTTAATTACTTTCCATGTCAACCAACAGATGGTTCTCTTAGGAATACCAGCACTAGCTACATAAACACTTATAAGAACTTGTAGCAGGCGGAGTTGCTTGGTCTAAAATACATGTTAATAAGCCTTTATAGAGAGGGCAGTGGACAGGGAAATTGGAAAGAAGCAGCAGGAGGTGGAAAGAAGGATAGCAAAGAGCAACAAGGAAGAGAATAGACCAAAGGAAGCAAAAAGCAAAGAGAATAGCAGGAAAGAAGGCCACATGGCTACAGGATTGATATGATCTGTGTGTTGAGCAATGAATTTAAATACCCAGGAGTGGGTCCCCCTCGGTCCAGGTTGTAAACTTGTCTGGGATTGAGTAGATAATGGAATTTCCGATGAACCCTAAAGTGAGTAAGAAAAACAAGAAGTGATGGCCTCTAAAATGATTCCTGGCTGCTCCCCACTCCCCCCACCTTACTCATGGCAGCTCTATGAGCATATGTAATACTGTTTGCCTGGAGCAAAAACTGCCTACTTGATTGCCATCACAAAATTTCCAAGATGTGAGGGAATTCTCCTGGCCTTCCCAAGGGCATTTAGTGCAGAGACATATGAATTTATTTCTATACCACCCTGCAGCTGAAGCTCTTTATGCTATGGAAGGGCCTAACAGCTTAGTTGGGTTACTCAGAGGGCCAAATATTTGGTCTTGCATAGCTGGATCTTACTTTCCTAAATTGCTTGCTGGTGCTTGAGCCAGATCATGAATTTGGCATGGGAGGAGGAGAATCCCTGGTCCTTGGCACAGCTCCAATCAGAATGCGCCTCCCACCCCTTTACGTCTGCCGTTCAAAATGGGAGGAAGCTTCCACACACCCCAATGACAGTTTTCCCCTCTTGTGGATCGTAGGAGCAACACCACTCCTGATTCCAATAAATACCACATTAAGGACAGAAGGTTGAAGTCCTTTGCTCATACATGTACTTCAGTTACACAGGACCAGTTGATATGACAAACTGCATTCTATTTTGGGCCCAGGATGCTTACTACACAACAGCACCAGAGTCTTCCTCATTTCTCAAGCCCCCTTCTACAACTTAGCTTCATAGGTACTTTGACTTATAGCCATTCCTACCAAACAAAGGACTGGTGAATACACAGGTACTAGTTAAGAGACTCTGGTGACAGTCTCACAATCACAGGCTACACCTGCTTGTGCAGCAATTGACAAGCAAGCTGGGATAAGAATAGCATTTTCTAAGCAATACAATTCTAAGCACAAGGAAAATATGGCCCCTCTGCTCCAAGATGCTTAGATGCTTGAGGGAACATGCTTAGATTCCGCTCAGCAAAGGTGCCTTTACCACAAAAAATCCAGTATCTTGGGCAGTTGAATTTTTGCACAGACGTTGTATAGATAGGGGGGAACAAACCTTTCTCCTTGCCTCCCTCCACTCTTGGGGTTCACAAACACCAACAGTGGATGTGTTCCAGGCTTAGGGGTAATCTGTAAGGCAAATTACAAACTGAACAAGGAACCTCCTTGTACAGAATACAAAACAGCATTCATGCTGAATGGGTGAGAATGAGTCATGCAGCATCCTGACAGAGGCGCTCGATAGATTCTAGTGCCATTCTGGTCCCCACCTATTCTACATACTGCCTTGCAGCCATGGACTATGTGCCAGACCCTCTATTTTATTATTATATTTATGTCCCACATTTTTCCTTTTGCAAGGAACCCAAGGCAGCTTACATGTGAGCTGTAACAATAACCCTGTGATTAGGCTGAGAGCCAGCAATGGGCCCAAAGTCACCCAGTAAGCTTCATGGCTAAGTGGGGGCTAGAACCCAGGTCTCTGAAGTTCCAGTCCAATGCAGTAACCACAACACCTCAGCTATATCTAGGATGTCATGCCAGCACAAGCTCTCTTGTACCCTTCCTAACATATGCTTTGAGAACAAACTCTTTACATGACATGGCAGGCATTACCAAGATAATACTAGCCCAGGAAAAGGCATTTGAGCTTTGGTTCTGTGGCATAACCACCTTTCTAAAAAGGAAAAGTGGGAGGAGAAAAGTGGGCAGGAATGAGAAAGAAAAGATCCTCCAGATGTTACTGGACAGCAACTCCCATCATCCCCCACTATTGGCTATGCTGGCTAGGGCTGATTGGAGATAAAGCCTTACATAATTTGGAGGCCTACACATTCCCCACAACTGCTATGGAAGTATTAATTCTTGAGTTAACCTGTTAACCAGGATACCCAATTCAATCACCCAAAATTTCTTGTGAAATTGGCCTCCAGTGACCAGTAAAAATTGCCATCTTTGCTCTGGAATGTCTTTCTCCACAACTGAAGTTCAGGCATTGGGAGCAAAACATTAGTTCATTGTATACAGACAATCCTGCACCTGAGTGTAAGAAGAGCGGCTGGGAGCTGCCTACCTGCAGCCCATGTCCATCCCCGGTAGTGGTATTGAATCTGAAGGTCAGGTTTGTGTCATCTGGCGTAGTGCTGGATGGTGATTCACTGTCTGATCTTCTTGGGTGGGATTGCCTGTCCTTTGGAACAGGGAAAAATGCATCAAGACTTCCAGGTATGGATGAAAGGCAGCAAATAAGAAGGAAATGTTAGCAATAGAAATGAGAGGAAAAGGATGGATTCTTAAGTGATAAATGGAGGGTGCAAGCCTATGCATGTTTACACATAAAGAAATCCCAGCATTCCCCAACAAGGCTGTCTGGAGAATGCTGGGACTTGTAGGCTTTCTTCTGTCTAAACATGCATAAACTTGTGCCCTAAAAGACCACAAAACACTTCCAGATGGAGGGCTCCTACAGCCAGCAGTCAAAGGGCAATATGCAGTTATTCCAACTGTTTCTCCTTCTCTCTCTCTCCTTTTTCTTGGTAAGAAATGATGGAAAAACATGGTAGGGCCACAAACAGAAAGCATCATTATTTGGACCCCCATAAATCCTGGTAATGATGCAGGGCAAAGTGAAAGCTTTGTTGGGAATGACATATAAAACATTTGTACTGAAAAGCTGTCGATGAAGCAGCACAGAATACTAATACATGGATCAACCATCAACAATGCATTTCATAAACTGTAATGTGCGTTCCTGAAGTACTGAATCAATCTGGAGAAGTGGCTTGAAGTTGCGAATACAATGATGCCTCCACAGTTCAATACCTGCATTGTTTCCCAAGGTAATGGGAATCTTGGAAGAACATCAACTCTCAAATCCCACCAGCTGAAAAAACTATCTCAGGAGATCATACAGTTACATGCCTTTTGGAAAGGGAACTGCTTATTTGTGAATTTAACAAACCAATGTAGCATCTGAGGTGTTTAAAGAAAAAGCTATACAAACTAATATATCTGAAGTCAAAATATTTAAATTACAAACTAACTATGCTGAGGGAGTTTAAAACTATGCCAAGGAAGTTACTCTAACTTAGCCCTTTCTTTGTATGCAATTTTCACATTTTTTAAAAAGTGTATGCAGTCAGGAGGTTAGTCAATGGTGCATGCGGCTTCTGCATGCCATTAAGTACTTGGCTTGGTGTGGAAGGAGAACTAAGGGGGCTCTTTAAGTCCATTTCTGGCTGGAAGCACAACAGCAGATGACATTCCTGGGCTGTCACAAGCTACTTGCTCAGCATAGTACCTCAACATGCCAAATTGGCATAACAGTGATCTACACTGCAGGACTGTTGAATGTGACTCCTTCAGCCCAACCTGTAAGTGGAGGATAAAAGGAATAGATAACATTTTTATGAGTTAATTTTCTCATTTCAACCAGGCCTCCAATCAACTGGATCAAATATCTCTGGCCAATTTACCCTAAGTCAGCTCATTCCTTGTGTGCACTGCATTGCAAACTGATATAAGTCACTCTCTCAGACACAGCCCCTTTGAACCTGCAATCTAAGGGCAGTAAATTGCATTTGCTTTGGAATTTGCATGAAGTGGTATGCATGTGTGTGTGTGAATGACACTAACTAAGAACTCAAAAAGAGAAATACCTTTTCTCTGTGCTTCTTCCTTTGGTGGAGGTTAGTGGAAGGAACAGTGGGATGCACGCAATCCAGCTACATTAAAACCTTGTACTTCCCTATTGATTTCTATGGCCAATTTCTCATTCACATCTGTGAGGACATTTAAAAATAGCTTCTTGGTATGAGTCAGAAAGTGATGTCTCTGGATTATGTTTTTTTTTTACCCTTTATATTTATGTATGTGTCACTATTCTGTTCCAAACTTCCATTCTATTCTCCCACCAACCCAGTTGCTACGTTCCTCTTACTGGCCTTCACTCAACATGCCATGCCATTGTGTTCTGGGTATTCTGTGAATCTTGGGGTTATCCAGTCTACCAATATCTCTTTCCTATGTGCTGGTGATACAGCTTTGGGTGTACCATAAACATGAGCACAGGAAGATTCAGATTAGCACTATATATGATTACGTTTTCACTGTTTAATTATATACCTGCTTTCAAGTCTAGTAGGTTCCTAGAGCCATTCACAACATTCAAGAAATATTACTGAATAGTAATAAAATGTACCTAAAACTACAGAGCAGAATCTTACCTATGTGACTACATACTAACACATCTGAAGCCCTTTTCTTTGAAGTATCTCCAGTATCTCCTCACCTGGGCCTAGCTCGAATTAGCTCTCAGCCCTGTTCTTCTCAGCAGTGGCAAAAGGGAAGTGTTGAGAGAACAGGATGTTCCAAATTATCAAAATCATTTCAAGCCAGCACAGGGTATTTTCATACTGAGATGGCTGTTAAGAACCTTTTGACTTCATTCACTTTGTAAAGATGTGGCTGTTCTGATTCTTAAAACATTACAGTGAAGAACCCTTCTCTGAAACAAGTGCAAAGTATGTGGTTCCCATGGAGGTTGCAGAATTAAACTATGGAATTCATGGAAAGAAGAGAAGCTGAATATTTTATCAGTTTTGTGGAGAAACCAGGTGCCTTTGGCTGTCCCCAGCTGTCACCTACCCAATGGCCATTCTGTCAAGCCACAAGCCACCTGGACTGTTTCCATCCCAGGCGGTCATGATATGAAGTGGGACGTCAAAAACCTGTTAGTGTATTATGTGTTTTGGATTGTATGTCTGAAGGCAAGAAATGTCTTACCATTGACACTGGTATTCTGCTCTGGGGATCCTTTTGGCTAAGAGTGGGGTCAAAATGATTTAAATAAACAAAATCAATAACTGCAAAATACTGTGCAGAATCAACTCAAGAAGCAAGTCAAATTTGGAACTTTAGTGCCATCACTGTATATGCAACTTTAATCTACTTTTGGAGGGATAGATTCAGAACTCAGAATGCCATTCACTGCAGGATTTTTTCAGTAATGGAGGTTAAGGGGGTTCACCCACCCCTGTCTAAATGTTGAAAGGAAACACATGAGGTTAAGTGGGCTAGCCTCAGCTCTCACTGCTGAAACACTTGCTGTCTGCATGTTTGGATGGCACACGGAAAGGCTGGTCATGAATGCTGATGTACGCACGTAGACTGTCACCTGAGGAGGGAATCTAACATCAGAATTTATTTATTACATTTGTGTAAAAGCCATCCATTAACATAATGCTCTCTGGGCAGCCATTACAATAAAATATATCAGCTCTGTACATATACATCAACATGCATGGATAATACTTTCCTCCGTGATCCAAATAATTTCATCCAAGGGTGGGGCATGCCTTTGGCATGCAATAACAGGAGCTGAGCTAGCCTGCACAGTTCTGTACCTCTCTATGCATTCTTTCAACACATGGGGGCACTTGTGTGACCTACTCTATTGTTTGCACTTGATGAATTGTATAATTGTATCGATTGTTGATCAAGACATTGATATTCTGCACCATTTGATACCTACCATTTCATAGCAATGCTATGCACTGAATTTTGGTGTTCCATGACCTATGTTGAGTGGTGTGAATGTATGTCCATCAGCAGGTGTGAATGTTATTTCTTCCCCAGAAAGAAGGGTTTCTTCCCAAGTTACTTCATAAGTTTTGGCTTCAGGCCACTCTAGTCAAAAGGGAAGATGCAAATCTGAAGAATGATAATGTACTATAGACTGGTAACTTGATAACCTTAGAACTGAGGCTGTTTCCAGCAGAACCACTACAGAATGCCTTATCTGGCTATATTAGAGGGCTGGTGTTGCCCTAAGGAGTGAAATTGTCTGGATGAGAAATTGTTCATAATTGGGGCTGGTCAGCTTCACATCCCTGCACTCTAGCTTTGTACTTTCTCATTATATGTATACAGCTATCAAATGGCCAATGCAGGGCTGAGGCTAACGTTAAGTGTAAATCACTCTGGTTGTCAGATGATTAATAATTTGTACAACAGGAAAGAGATTTACTAGAAATAAAAAGGATTAAAGGAGGAGTGTACATATGATTCATGCTATGCTCAGGCCATTCTTCCATTTCTAGAGCCACATCTCAGGTTATTTTGAGAATGCATGGGTACATACAATTGTGATTCAGGGTGTGCACAAAGAAAGTACAACAGACAGGATAGCCAGTTTCTGAGAGAAGACTTTCTCATTTCCTGCAACTTCCTTCTTGGGGTGTGCATCACATGCATCTTGCATTAGGGTGTTTTTGCAGACATAAAGATCCTTCAACCTCCTTTTTGAAGAAAAGCACACTAAGATTCCTTTAGAAGCACAAAGGGGGCATCTGCTATCAAATGCTGCATTTACTATTTCTGAAACTGGCACATTAGAATAATGAAACATGACAAAATATGGAATGCTTGTAATGGAATTGTGAGAAAATGTATGCCTGAGCTCACCAGTCAAACTTCAATGATCTGTATTGCTTATTAATATGGAGAACAGTGTACTTTCTATCCAGACAAGACCCATTGTGTAGATAAAGTTTCAGTCTTAGTTTTAAGTTAACTAAGTCACTTTGGATAGATTTGAAATAGCATGTGTTTTTGAGAGAGCATCATCTAGTGGTGTTGAGTAATGAGACAGAGAATACCAGCCATTAAGCGAGTTTCAGAGGAGCCAATCAGAGCCATTTACCAGAACCACTGGACAGATATGGGAAGGCAGTAAGATGTGGTCCTTGAGCTGCCCTCCATCACATTCAGGTTTCACATGAGAGGCACATTTGTTGTGAAGCTGCAAGAGGAGGAAATGGAAAGTGAGTATGTGCCGATCCTCCTCCCAGCATCCTCCACCCTCTGACTCTGGGAATCCCGATAGCATCCTGCTAGATATATCTGACCTAGATATATACAATCCCCTCCGTCAGTCAAGCAGCTTTTTGTATTCTGATCCCAGAAAAGCAATCGCTTCTCATTGGGTGGGTAGGTGAAGCTTCATTGTTTGTCATGATAACTCCATTGTTAATGACAGGCTAAAGTGGCCTTCACCAAATAGTGCCCCCCATGTGCTGGACTACAACCTCAATAACTCACTATCTAGCACAGTCCAACATATGGTGAGCACCAGGAAGAGAAAGCTGAGCTGAAGATGTTTCGCCTGAAAAACTTAACTCCTTTGGTATCAAAGCAAAATGTGGAGGATGAGAAGGAAGCTTTTTGGCTTGGTGCTTGTAGAAGCACCCAAAAATTAGGTTCCCAAGTGCAGGGACTTCAGACTATCTTATGAACACAGCCTGCTACTACTTTGTGTCCCAAAATATCCGTATAAATATTGCATGACTCAGAACAGTCCAAGGGCACATACCACAGTTCTGTTGCTGCAGTCAAGCACCCTGGTATTATAAACTATCATTTGGAGCTCTATCTAAGCTAATCCGAACTATTAGAAGATGAAAAAGAGCATGAGAAAGCAAAGCAAATAAAATAAAAATGATTTTTCAGAAATATATTGTGAATATATTTGTGTATTTGCAACACCAAATACACAAAATGTATTCGCTACTACTATCTGCAGCCTTGACAAACCCTCTCTTCCTGTGCTTGGCATTTCACTGTAGGAGCTTGCGGTACCAACTGATACATCTACCCACACATAGCTGAGATGAAATGCCTCCAAGAGTCATGAAAAAAGACATCCTACGTGCCTCATAATCATGCCATAATGAGGTTCACAGCAGACCAGTTTCTGCAGCTGTAATAGCAGTGAATGTCACATCACCAGATTGAGGAAGCCATTGATTTCCTGGAGACCCTATTATGCATATCCCCCTCCTAGTGGTTTCCCCTGTACGTGTCAGAGAGAATGTGCTAAAACAGTTGAAAGATGAAGGTATGACTTGCATAAATGCAAACCCCCTTCTGTATTTCCCTAAGCGGACAGATAACCAAGTCCAGTCATGCTTTCTGGCTTCTCATCAGAATTCTGTGTTATGGCCGTTTTCATTATCAGAAGATGAATCAAGGAATGCAAGAACCTCCCTGTTTTATTCACAGGCATAAGATGAGAATTACCAATAAAGAACAGACTTGGCCTTCTGACATATGTGGTGACTCTCCTCGAATGCTATCTCCAATTAAAAAATAACGCCACACTCTCTTCACGTACTCACTGTGATTTGGCACCAAACGCAGTGAAGTCCGGTAATGCCCTGGTAGCACTTGATACTTTTATGGCATCTATCGCACTTGGCTGGGGAGTTCCCCTCAATCCATGTATGCTGCATAACCTAGAAATGCATGAGACAAGGTGATTCATGCTGGAAATGGAATTCGTGCACTAAATGATACTGGCAGGCACAAAGAAGAACAAACATTCCTGATTGTTCCGCAGAACCACATTCTTTCAGATATTTAAGGTAGTTGTGGATGGTTGTGATAAAAGAAGGATTGGGCACAACTGAGGAAGTCTCTGGGTAGAGGGTTTTTTTTTTTTTTTGCACATTTTTTATTAAGATTTTAAACTAAAAACTAAAAAATGATCAATCATCAAATACATCAGACGTACAGGGTCAGCCCCCTATAACATATCTTTTAAACATTCTATAATCATATTCAAATCAATTTATAAAAATTTAAAGACATCTTTAAATCTAAGCCAAGTCCTGTTTTTCCAGCCAATCGTAGAAAAGGTCCCAAGTTTGATAGAAGTCAGTATCTTCCTTCTCTTTCAATAACAGATTCAATCTTTCCATTTCTGCACAATCCAGAATCTTTTTTAAAATCAGTTTCTCAGTGGGTAGTTCCTCACTCTTCCAGTACTGAGCTAGCGCAATCCTCGCTGCTGTGATTAAATGTAGTATCAAATACGTTTCTTGTTTGCTAATATTTCTCGGTACAATGCCTAACTGGGTAAAGTTTTCTTTACTTTTGGGACGGCTACATGCATACACAGAGATCACAATAGGTCTGTGTATATTGGTTTTATAAGACAAGTTATTGTTGCTCAAAAGGGACACTGGTTTGGGTTCCTCACTGCTGCATCTTCTTTTGTCCATCATCTCTGTTCCTGCCTATAATCTCTGTTTCTTACCTGTCATATCTGCTTTAGGTCAGCTCTTGGTGCTAGCTGCAAATTTAATTAATGTTTCTGGAATCATCACTAGACCCAGCTAGATTTCCAGTCTTGGCCTTAGGAACCTCATGACACCGCTGATATCCATCCTGAAACAGATGCTTTCATCTGCAATTCAGGGATCCTGAAACATAGGAGTCCCAAGAATGCAGATGTCTTGTGCAGGCTGCAGCGTGCTTTACTGTTCAGCATCTGCTTGCATCATTTCTTCTGTTCATGTGACCACATTTTTTGGCAATGGATGACCATAAGGCTGATTCCCCTCTCCCCCACCGCCTCTGCTCACAGTTTGACATTTTTGCACATACAGACACATGGTAATCCAATGCAGTGGTTGCCTAGAAAACCAATGTACCTTTTGGCACCGTTAGTAGTAGTACTATGACAGTGTGGATAGCATGCTTTGTGTTACAGATGGAAGACTATCAATGGGTGAACACAAGCACTTGTCATTCATAAATGCCTCACTTACATTTGTATTTCTCTTGGATTTCACATAAGTGCTGATGCAGGGGGCAATGTCTTTGGATACACATCTTTCATGGACCGTGTATTTACAAACTGTAAAGAAAAGGGAGAGAGGCAGCAGCTCTAAGTCTGCCTTGCATTCAAGGTATACCATTTCCAGTTATTTGGCAAGATGGTTGGTTGAGCCTAGATTACACATACCTGTTTGAGATAGCATATAAACTTAAATATATATTTCCCAGGTAGGTGGTTCCACTATCTTAATCTATGTCATGGAATCCATTTTAGGACTAGAAACATTTATAAAATAAAATAAAATAAAATAAAATAAAATAAAATAAAATAAGTTGGGGTGTTCAAGCCAATGGGTTCAAAATGCAGCTGAGCTATGCAGGCACATAGTTTCCACCTTGTTTCGAAGGCCTTAAGTTACAAGCTCACACACACTTAACAGGGAGTGTGCCCCATTGAACCCAATGTATTCTACTTCTGAGTGGACATAGAATCACAGAAGAGCACATTAAAAAACATATGCATTTTTAGACAGAAAAAAATGTCCTGTAGCTGGGGAATGCTTGAAGCTGTAGAATATTTTTTTTTGGTCTAACTATACATAGAATTGTGCCCTATACATCTTTTGCAGTATCTGAAATGTCTTCAAGGTATTCAGGTTCCTTACAAAGATAGGCAACCTGGACCTCTCCAGATCTCAAGTCTCATGATCCCTGACTGTTGGTCACATTGTCTGGGGCTTACTGCAGTCACGATCCAAAACAACTGGAGAACAACAGGATACCTTTACCTGCCATAATGTGAACCAGAAGAGGTGAAGTTTGGGTGCTATATTAATATAAAAGCCATGCTTGTCAGGAACTCTAGGAAAACAGTTTTTACTTCAAATAAAAAAGAACAATAGCAGGAAATACTTCCAAACCCTGGAAAAGATGCTGTTGCATTGAGCAATAAGTCACAACCCACTCATGATCTGTAATCATTATCCACTACAATGTGAAACCAGGATATTTCAGCGAATACCACCTTGGCGATGGACCTCTCTAAAGTTTACCCATTATGGTACATTGTTCATTTTTTCCCAAGTATAATTTCATTCCAACTTGTTCCACATCAGTTTCTAATTTTAATTTGCATGAAAATGTATAAGCATTTGTGTGTGCATTTTCCTGTGTACTTGCAATGTTGGTAAGCAATTTGCCCTCATGTACATGTTTATTACAAGCCCTTTCCTCTAATATATGCCTTTTGGTGCAGTTTCTCCTAATATACATATTGGGATGCAATTCTTCTAATTTTTGTTGGTAAAAATTGGAAGAAGAGCAAAACATTAGGAATGTTTCCCAAGATGGGAAGTTTCCCAAGATGGGAAGTTTTTGGAGTACAAGATGACTGACTTTATTATCACAGTTAGGCTGATCTGGATCCTTGAAAAGGATCTATTTTGCTTTAAAAACATTTTGATTATAGTTTGTTTGGACTTTTGAAAGCTAAGAAAGAAGAACAATGGTCCAATGTTTTAGTGGACCAAAGGTCTCTCTCAGTCTTCCCCGACCTGGTGGCTTCCAGATGTGTGGGATTACAACTCCCACCATTCCCAGTCAGCATGCCCATCTGAAGGGTACCAGGCTGGGGAAAGCAGTTCTTTCTAGCCCAGCGTTATCTTCACTGGCCAGCCAGATGCCTGTAGGAAGCCCACAGAAGCACGTTGAATGCACTAGCGCCCTCCTGCTCATGTTCCCCCATGAGTGGCACTGAGAGGCACACTGACGGCTGCTGGAGGCAACACATCCCCATCACGGCCGGGAGCCATTGATAGCCTTGTCCTCCAAGAGTCACCTAAAAGGGGCCCAGACTTTCCCAGAATGAGGAATCCACTAGAAACAAATGCTAACGCAGAAAGGGGCAACATGCAGACCTCCGGTTGTGTTAGAATACCACCACTGATGTGCTGGCTGGGGATGATGATGAGGATCACTCTGTTGCTCTGTTCTATTGGACACCCTCCTCCCCATCTGCCTTGGAGAGTCTGCTCCGATTGGCTCCAGCTTACTCTCATGCAGGTAGGTAACAGCCAAGGCAACCTTATGGCTGCAAAGGAGGGGTAGAGCTCACTAGCCTTCTGCACATGGCACACCCAGGCACTTACAAGAACAGCACAAGCCTTGCTTCCTGACACCCAGCAGCATAGTGCGACAAAAGTTGCAGTAGGCAGGCTTCTTGAAGTGTTTTAGCCTCCAGGCGTGCTGCCCATCGTCCTTCACATTCTGCAGGGAGAAAAAGGTCCATTATGAGATATTCTGCAGGAGGATGTTAATCACTGTGTCTCCTTCAGTCTTGCAGCAGCACTGAGATGAGAAAAGCACCTTTCTTGAGTGATCCAGTGGAATATCATCTCAGGGTTCTGAAATGGAGAATGTTTTGATTTTGCAGCAAATTGAGGGCAGTGTGAGAGTGCCATCATTATCTCTGGTACATACATTAGTTTTTCTGCTTTCCTACAGCCTCTGGTCATAAAGAGCTGGCAGGTTTTAATCATGCAAAACCTATTTGAGCAAAGCCCATAGTGGGATAGCAAAAATAAATGTGTGCACTATGGGTAGTAAGGTCTGTATCATCACAGTTACTGAAAACGATCTACAGAAGTGTTCAAATAAAAGTAGGATGAGTAAATATGACTCCATAAATACAACTTGAACAAAGATTCCTAGTAGTACTGAGGGTGGGGGAGGTTACAGTGTTATCTGATCTCAAGTTTTATTTTCTGAATGATGGTGGTTGGGATCTCCACTTGGAATTTTTAAATTGATTTTATTGCAAATTTAAAAATCAAAACCAAAGCCTAAACCTAAAAGAAAGAAAATAAAGTATTCCAGTTTTTGTACAGGAAATCTGAATGAACCTATCATAGTACAGATATACCATGTGTTCCTATATATTTTATGTATGGCAGAATTTAGCAAGATAATTATCTATAGTCTTTAGCAAAGGCAACCCAGAAAGCCATGTATTTGTCCATTTGTAAATTACACTTAAAAATGACCGTTCAAAAATTGAATGCTTCATCAAGTTCTCAACTGATTTGTTACTGCAGATGGATGTTCAGCCTTCCAGTTTTGTACTATTAGTCTTTTATCTACTGAATGGGTAAAGAGAATCCATTTACACTGATTTTGCATTACGTTTGAAGAGACAGGAGGGTAACTTAAAAAGAATATGTACATCTATAAAAGTAAAGAAATTTCCATCACAAAATTTATCCAAATTATTACCTTCCCCAAAAGGAAGCATTTAGAAGGCATTACCAAAACAAATAAAAGAAGTGTTTGCTGTATTATAGCTCCAATAATTGGCCAATTTAAACAACCCATTATTGAAAAGATGGTGTGATGTCCAATACCTGAAACATCAATTTTTGTTGCTAAACCTAATCTAAAATCCTATTCTAAAAAAGATGCCGATGAAGCAAACCATTGATTGGGCAAAACACTCCAATTAAGTGTTCTATTCTTGTGTATCATATCTGGTCCTCGCTGGACAGAGAGACCCTAGCTACAAGCATGTGGATGACTGCAATATTCTGTACATGGGGCTGCCTTTAAAAATGGTCAGAAAGCTTCAAGTGATGCAAAACTGGGCATCAGGACTGTTAATGGGGACTGACTCATGAGAACATACACCAGTCCTCTTCTAGCTGCACTGGCTGCCAGCTGACATTCAGGCCCAATTAAAAGAGCTAGTACTAACATTCAACACCTGAAATGACTTGGGGCCAGGATCACCTATTCCCGTATGTACCTAGCTGGACCCTGAGGTCATCTTCAGGGGTCCTTCTCCAGGAGCCCCATCCAAACGAAGTGAGGCAGCTGGCTACCAGTAGGAGGACCTTTTTGGTTGTGGCCCCCTAGCTGTGAAATGACTCCCCAAAGAGCTGCATCAGGTGAAGACCTTTTCATTTTCCCCAGCATTTTATCACTTTAACATTTTAACTTTATTTTAATATTGCCTTGTATCCTATATTGCTATCAGCTATTGAATATGCTGATTCAATTCTAATTGCTTTTTTGTTTTATGTTAATTTTTGTTTGCTTGTATATGTGTGTGGGTTTTTTATAAACTATTGTTAACTGCCCCAAGAGCCTTGACTATTAAGTCGTTGACACCAGCTATTGTTTGATAAGCAGTTTAGCCTCAATCAATACTTCCAATAACAAACGGGCTCAGAAGCTGAAAAAGCAGCAGCATCAAAGGCAAATTCTAACAGATGTTCCAGTTGCATGCATTGCCATTCAGCTATAGCTGGCAAATAATATTTAGCAAGCAAATGAAAGAGTGGCAGAAAGTTAACACGACCTACAAGCTGATCCAAAGTAACAATCAACCTGTGTACATTTGCCAAAGAAACATTTTCTTGCTAATTTTCAAATCTGGGTTTCCCTAAAGAGTTGATTTTGAAGGCAAAAATAAATCTATAATTGAAGTAAAACTGTATATCACATCTCTTTCACTGTCTTAAGAGTAGGAGGCACCCTATCTGTTTTAGTATATTGAGAACCTAATGCAATCTATTTGGGGAGCAAATCCAAGCATGAAGATTCCAAAACTGACTAGGGAAAAAGTCTAATCAGGGCATAAAATACTGAAATTATTACACATTTAAAAAAAGGTTTGATAATATAAAGAGATATCAGGGAAGCCAAATCCACCTTCTTTAACTGGATTCAATCTCCTTCAAAGATTTTCATGGCAGAATGGAACCCCATAGACACTTACAAAACAAGCATTAAGACTTGCCAGATATAAATAGAAGAATGCCATTTAAAACAAAAATAATTTGAGGTATGACTTTCATTTTAAGTGAATATCCTACCCCCTAGACTCAACCTTAAGGATGCCCATCTAGATGTGTCTCCAAAGAGCTCATTAATCAGCTGATTCATATTTAGGGTAATCATTTGAGATATACCTCTAGGGATAAGCATTCCCAAGCAAGCAATGAACTCTGGCCAATTTTAAATTTCCAGTTAGCTAGCACACTATGGCATGTAATATCTCCAATCAACATCAGTCAAGACTTGGGTGAGTTAATGGAATAGCCAGACAAGTAGCCAAATTATTAGTGGTCTGCATTAAGCTGGAAAAGATGACTGGAGTTCTGAGACAAACAATAAGAGATCATCAGGCTAAAGATTACATTTAAAGTGTAGACTATTATGCACATATCCATGAATTTTGCCAAATAGCACATGCCAGTGGTTCCAAACATAAATTGAATATTGGTAGAGGAAATGATCATCCCATTTCTTACTCTCTCAAGTAAGAAACAAACAAAAAGCTATCAATCCTGACTAACTCCTGGGACTGAATACAGAATTTCAGGAAAACCAGATTTTTTCAATATAGCCAAAATCAATTCCCGATAAATTTTACCAAAGGCCTTCTCTGGTGCCAAAAAGCAATGGCAGCTATCTGTGTCAGCACTGGGATGTAGGCGGCAGGCGGCTACGCCTGGAACACTGGGACCAGGATGCTGGGGAGGGATGGAAGCCTTTGTAAGATGCTAGAAGGATGGGGCAAAGCAAGTTCAAGTACAGGCTGAGGTTGGGTACCAGTAGCACAGAGCAGGCTCAGAGATGAAGTCACAGTTCAGAGGCAAGGTGAGGTTGGATAGGGGTAAGGCAGAGCAGGGTCAGGAGCAAGAGGATGGCCAGGGGGACAAGGAACATGTACTGGCAGTGGGGCTCAGACTGAAGGCAAGGACAGAAGAGGGAGCAGGCAAGAGTCAAGGGCATCGCTGAAGGCAAGGTGAAACTGGGAGCAGGGCCATGAGCCTGATGTAGCCACCACAAAGGCCCGTGTTGCTGTGGCAACAGTGAGCAGTGCTGGGAAGCCTTTTACTGAGCCTTTGGTGGCTTCCCACAGTGCTGCTTTCTCAGGGTCTGATCTTTGCAGTACCTACAAAGCAGATTCTGGTCCAGCAGGCAGTTGCGGGGTGAACTGTGGTGCTCTTTGCATCATGCCAGGAGAGGGAGCTTTCTTAGGGTTGTGGATCCTAACAATCTGCTCTGTTTTGTATATAATGCAATCAGAACAACCACCAATCTAAGATTGTCCGCCCCTTGTCTTCACTTGGGATATAAGGTTGTGTGTGGATGCTTCCCATAGTGACTCAAATCTCTCAACTACAACTCAGAAAAGCTATTCTTTGTACATGTAACAAGCTACTTATGAAAATGGATTCCTCACAATGCCTTTTCTAATATCATGTACTCCCACATATGTTGCATCTGCACTTGCAAAGTGCCGCTCTGCTTAGCAACTTTTTTTAACTCAATAGCTGACTTCATGCACCCCTTTACAGGGGAGCACATATAAACATCTCATTGTGAAATGGAGCCTAGTCTTCCTAAACATTTAACCTCTAGTCATGACACAGGGATCTCTATGCTCAGGCAGAAACAGCCTTGTCAGACCAATGCCAAATATAAATCATGAAGGCTTTATGGAAGTCATCACCAAGAGTCTATTGCCCAGTCTACAGTTCATTCCTTTCATTTTGTATTTTAAGTGAGTCATTCCTTACAGAAAGATCACAGCATGTGACCCATACTCCATAAGAATTGGCAATGTCTTCTAATTGGGACTCATGGGAACAAACCCAGAAAATTTTCAGGGTGGGTAGAATTCACTGATTTCATGGACCAAGACACAAATCTATGAAAACATGTGACCCAACCTATTGATTGGGCATCCAACCCATGGATCGGAGAATATGGACAGTTCCAGGCATTTTTAAAGCAGGGATGACTAATATCAGCCTGGGTTTCCTTCCCCTGGTTCCACCACTATCTTCAGTCATCCATCCTTCAGTGATCTTCCAGACTTTGTGCAGTCCTCCCCCCTAACCCCGCCCTCCAGCACTGTTCTAAACTAAGCCTCTTCTCAATCTAAGCTAGAAGTAGAAAGAAGGAAGTGGTAATACGACTGGTCCTGAAGAAAGCGTCACTGGATCCAGAGATGGCCACTAACTATAGACCTGTGGCCAACATCCCGTTTCTGGGCAAGGTGTTGGAGCGAGTGGTGGCGGGACAACTCCAAGCACTCTTGGATGAAACTGATTATCTGGATCCTTTTCAGTCCGGCTTCAGACCCGGGTACAGTACTGAATCTGCCTTGGTCGCCCTGTACGATGACCTGTGCAGGGAGAAGGACAGGGGGAGTGCATCCCTGTTGGTTCTTCTGGACCTCTTGGCGGCTTTTGATACCATCGACCATGGTATCCTTCTGGATAGGCTAGCGGGATTGGGGGTTGGAGGCACTGCTTTGCAGTGGTTCCGCTCCTATCTCAACGGTCGATTCCAGAAGGTAGTGCTGGGGGACCATGTCTCTGCGTCATGGAAGCTATGCCATGGAGTACCACAGGGCTCCATTCTATCCCCTCTGCTATTTAACATCTATATGAAACCGCTGGGAGAGGTCATCAGGAGGTGTGGGCTGCGGAATCATCAATACGCTGATGATACCCAGCTCTACCTCTCGTTTTCCACTAATCCAGGTGAGGCAGTGGCTGTGCTGAACCGGTGCTTGGCCGAGGTAATGCAATGGATGAGGGCCAATAAACTGAAACTCAACCCAGACAAGACGGAGGTCCTGTTGGTTGGCAGATAGGGCTTCGGAGAGGGTGGATTTGACCTGGTCCTGAATGGTGCAACACTCCCTCTTAGGGATAAGGTCCGCAGCTTAGGAGTATTCCTCGACCCGGAGCTTTCTTTGGAAGCTCAGGTGACAGCGGTGGTGAGGAGCGCCTTCCTTCAGCTTCGGCTGATTAATCAGCTGCGCCCCTACCTGGAGTACGACTGCCTGGCGACGGTGACACACGCGCTGGTGACTTCCCGCCTAGACTTCTGTAACGCGCTTTACGTGGGGCTTCCCCTGAAGACGGTCCGAACACTTCAATTGGTGCAAAATAGAGCTGCCAGGTTGCTGACGGGGACGGGGCGTTATGCTCACATGACTCCAGTCCTCCGTCAGCTTCACTGGCTTCCCATTGAAGCCCGGGCCCAATTCAAGGTGTTGATTATGACCTATAAAGCCCTAAACGGCTTGGGTCCTGGCTACCTGAACGAGCGCTTACGTCCGTATATGCCCGACTGCCCTTTGAGATCTGCGGGAGAGTCCCTTCTCCGGGAACCCTCCATGAAAGAAATTAGGAGAGTAAGTACTCGGAGGAGGGCTTTCTCTGCGGTGGTGCCCAACCTATGAAATTCACTCCCCAAAGAGGTCCGCCTGGCACCGTCGTTACTGGTTTTTCGGCGCCAGGTAAAGACCTTTTTATTTAAACATCATTTTAATTGTTAAAACATATGATCTGGCCAGGGCAACTTCTTCTTCCTTCTCTTTTCTCCTCCTATATTATTTATTTACTTATTTTATACTGATAATTTTAATTTTATATTATTATGTTTGTAACTCAGTGTATTTTTTGTATTTTTGTATTTAATGGTAATTTATTACGTTCTATTGTATTTCAATGTATTTTATTGTGTTGTAAGCCGCCCCGAGGCTTCGGCAAGGGGCGGCATAGAAATGTAATAATAATAATAATAATAATAATAATAATAATAATAATAATAATAATGTGTGCTAGGGTTTTTGTTTTGTTTTGTTTTTTGGTCTTTTTGGCACCACCCCTCTTGCTTTGGGTCCACCCATCTCTGGACTGTGCACCCCTGCAATTGCCAACTGGCTTTTGTTCCATCAACTGCTTATTGATAGAATTAGATTTTTTGTAAGAGAATTTCTTTCATTTGCAATTGCAGATTTGTGCTAATGTACACTTACACTAGTATGCAGTAGCATATATGAACATTTGCAAAAAATGGTTTGCCAGTCCACAGAATCTGCACAACTTGGGAAAAACTGCTCTTCTGCAGAATCTGCTGGCTGGATTCATAGAAATCCAAATGTATTTGAATATGTTGAGAATTACTCTGACACCCCTGCCCAGACACCAATATTATAAAGAACCTGCATTTTCTGACATGAGGTGAAATGTTTTTGCAAGTCTGGTGCAGTAAAATAGTTCATATGCTACCTATTGTATCTCCTCTCTTGAACCATTCTGGTAACAGGAAGCAAGAGCATCAAGTAATCTCTCAAAGCCCAATTGTCAACCAAACTGCCGTCAGGCTGCTAATGCTGAGATTCCTGGGGTGGAGGATTAATGCATCGGAAGGAAGTAAAAGTCCCATGCTTCTCCAGACAAGAAATTGGTGTGTATGTGTGTGCGTGTGTGTGATTGAACATGGGGGGATTGAGCTTGGAAGGTGGACAAGATGAAAAATTTAAAAATGATCCATAATTAGGATCATTTCATTGGCTTTAACTTAAATTATAAATACAGTTAGCTAAATTTACATCCTTTTTGAGTTACTTGTTACAATTTTGCATATCTCTGGTTAATGAGCTTCTTGAATCGTCTGCGGATATGAGAGTGTTTTAGTTTTCTTTGCTAAAAGTTTTTATTTGAGATTCTGGCGCCCTCACATGGTGTCATCCCTACAAGAAGCTGTATCAAGTCCTCTTCCACTGTCTTTGACCTTGATTCATAGTCTTGTGCATGTGCTGTTCACCTCAATGACGCTTGTGCAGGAGATATCCCTCCAGAATTGCACATAGGAAATAGGAAGCAGTCTGATATTGAAACTTCTAGCCCAGTATTTGCAACACTGACTGGCAGCAGCTTTTCAAACTTGCAAGCAGGAGTTTTTCTAGCCCTACCTGGAGATCATGGGGATTGAACGTGTGACCCTCTGCATGCAAAGTATGTCCTCTTCCGTTGAGTGATGCATCTCCTAACCTTTATATGCATGAATATTTTAAATATAACCAGTTATTACAACTACAATCCCCATTTCAAAGTGCTATAGTATTATTAAATATTGGGCCCAAAATACAAGTAGCATGAGTCTGGATTATTGCATTTTAAATCTTCTTGGAAAGAAATGGAGCATCTTCACAACCTCACCACACTGTTGGGCATCCTTTGAAGATAGTCCTCACATTAGCTATCTTCTTTGAAGTCAGGCCTGTTACTTACTGTTTCCATGCCCAGCAGGACCAGCAGTGGTATGGTGGTCATGCCACCCCGAATCCACTCTTCCAGTGTCACAGTTCCATCATGGTCATAATCTATTTCTTCCATCATCTCTTTCAAGATCTATAAAAGGAAAAGCCCAATTAAAAACCTCATTCATTCTTTCAAGCCACCAAGCTGTACCTTATTCTGTTGATAGGGTGCACCATGCATGGAGAATAAACCAGAGCATAGCACTGACGTATTTTGCATTAGCATCCAGTTCCTCTGTGTCACCAATGTTCAGCAAACCAGGCCAGTTGTGCTCTGTGGACCAATGAGGACATCTAAAAACCCTGAATACAGCTTCAGTATGAATACGATGAGCTAACTCCATAGCCTAGATACTTTCTGCTGGCCCCTCAAACCATTTGGGAAGTACTAGACTTTATAAAGTCCTTGTATCCACATCAGCACCTCAGCTGAGCAATTTGTCTCACTGCATTGCCTCCTGATCTTGGACCTGATAACCAGCTTGTCCTTGATCATGACATCTGCCTTTGATCCTGTTGATACTCATCTGTTTTGCTAGAACTGGACCACAGCTCTGCGTAGCCTGTTTTGAGTTTGGCCAAGATCTCCCAAGAGAACTTCCACTATTGGATAGTATAAAAGTTCAAAAAGAAATAAAATGCCAGGACAGAGCTCTGTAAGCCTCCATGCTCCCCTAGCACATGCTTTCTACATGAACTCTCCAAAGTAGCCTCTGAAACCTGCACAATCCTTGCAAAATCATGATTATCTACTTGCTTCCCACCTCAGGATCCCAAACCTTTTGTGACATGATCCTCAGAGCTGAGAAACTCCCCTTAAGAAGATTGTGCCATCCATATGCAGGTGTATAATTTATGCAAACAGTGATATCTGCTATGCAGCCTCAGTCAACCTTCTCTCTAAGGGGTGCAACAGATCCTGGAGGGGCCAGGAAAGCCAGCTGTCATGAATTTATTTTGATAGTGCTCAGCAGAGACCAGTATACAAGTAAAACTCACCGGCCTTAATTCTGTGGAGTCCCACTCCAGATATTCAGCCACATGAACCATCTGATTGATTATCCGATCCAGCTCCTTGTTGCAGAAGTAACACCAAAGGAAGGGGAAAGGGAAAAATGTTGCTGTGTGTAATTTTGCAGTAATATAAATGATAATATAGGAATGTGAACACTGCAAATGTATCTTGGCATATGTGGAGAAATTATCTGATTTCCCCCCATAAAAGCTACCGAATGCCTTTATTTGCTGCCTCTATGATATGGATATATAGGCTCAGTTCCTTGTTTTTGGAGGCTGCTAGGATCTGAGCCAGCATCAAGGAAAGACAGGCATGGATGGCTCCTTCTGTAGATCCACACCCCAGCAGGGGGTCATTAATGAGAGTCCTTTGGAGTTACTCCTCTTCAGCCCTGAAATCTGCTCATCTGCCTCTCAGCCATCCAGGCAACAGTGATGGTGAGAAAGAGCAGCAGCAGCAGCCGCTGCTTAATTGCTCAATAGATTCCCATCTGTCAAGCAAGAAAGTGGCAGTGCTAATGAGAGCAGGGTGAGCAATAGCAGTTGCTGGCAAAGCTCCTGATGATGATTGTGAGAAGTTAGGCTCACTGGCCAGGTTTGGATGATTATGAGGGGAATGTCCCTGTGGCTTCTTTTCTGGCCCCCATGCACACGGGGTGTGCACCATGCACTTTCCTAATTGCTTTCATGGCTTGCGGCGTCTCCCAAACCTGATGATGTGGACAGCAGGGAATGTCTTTGAAACCACTCCAGAACCCCACAACAAACCATGGCGCTGGGTGCTTTTGAAGCCATCCCTGCTGCTCACCTCACTGGACTCAAGCAACACAGTAAGCCACACACCGTAGGGGTAATTAGGCAAATCACAGTCATGCCCGGCTTGTGAAGGGGCAGGGAAAGGAAGCCACCATGGCTTCTTTCACCCATAATCATTTGAACCCAGCCACTGAGGAAGTGAGCCCATTGAAGATGCCTTGCCTGAGGGGCCTCAAAGGTATGAACCACCACTGTAGGAGGAAGTGCCTCAGGCTTTTGCAGAGAGGTGCATTCTCCCTTTCTTGAGAAGAGCGTTGCTTTGCGGGATAGCTTACCGAGCTGTCCAGGAGGCCATTGCCATCTGTATCATAGAGGCGGAACATAACTGCAAGAAAACACAAATGCAACAAAGGTCTGTAATAAATACAAGCACCCAGAGGCAAAACATGTTCATTGATCAGCCTCTATACTCTATAGCCACACTAGTTTTAATATACATGTCTACTTTAGGGAACTAGGAGCATCTTAGATCATCCACAGTTAAACTGGTGCGATACCATTAATAACAACATTCCTAACTATTGTCCAAAGGCTTTGTAGAATTAATCAAGAGTGAGTGTTAAGAGGAACCTTTCTTACCTGTAGAGAGACTGGGCAACCCGTCTTCTTGAGCAGAGGGAATGAAAAGTTTATAGCAAGCCGTGGAGCATATTTTGTCCTCCTACTCTACCAGAGATCAGATAATTATTTCTATTCTAGAATCAGTCTCTTGGCTCCTAAGAGCCACAACAATTTGCACTCACTAACTAAAGAGGGAGGGCTGTATGTACAGAGCAGATAGGTGGGATTTACTGCTTCTTACAGCTGCAATTTCCTCTACATGCAAAGCCCACGTGTGTGTGATGCACAGAGAACACAAAGAATTACAGCATCCTGTGCATGAGGAAGAATCTTCCAGATAGGCTGCCACTTACGTATCATGAAAAAATGGGTGCGAGATGACCCAGATCAGCATGACGTTTACATATGCTAATTAGCATACATGCAAATATAGAAATATTACTATAATTTATTAAACCATCTATATACTTTACTATAAAACCATCTCAAGACACCAGTAGACTTAAGTAGACAGACGGAATAATTTAGATGGAAATGCATCTCAGCAGCAAAAGTCTGTGAACAGGTGAAGAGCACTTCTTGCCCAGTCTGTTGTCCAGGTGCTGGGTCTAACCCAAAACATTTTGCAATTTGGGGAAGGAGAAGATGGCTCCCCCTCCATTCCACCTACAGAAGCTAACAAGACTGTTAGCTGAGCACTGGTGGTGGGACCTTATTGGAAAGCAGAAGGTCTGCATGCAGGGGCCGGACAAGCTGCCTGGAATACACAGCTCTGTCCTCCAATGGAGAGGAATGGCCAGAGGACTGCCCTCACAGCCCTTCTGTGCCACCAAGCACCTTCTGACTGAGGTGACCACTTTACTCTGCCTAATGGCAGAGCCAGGCCTGTCTGATCGGCAACTTCTAGGCTCCTATTCTCTTTTCTTGTGGTTTTCTGTCTTCAAAGGACAGAGATCAGACTTTAAAGAATACCTATGAGCAAAAGACCATCCCCTGTAAAGAATGGTCACCCTACTTCTAGTCTGTTCCCCAACCACCATCTGTACTTGAAAAGCAAACAAAGTGGAATGTTAAAGGGGATATGGTAGAACCCTCTGTAAAGGGCAGCCTGAAAGAGGCAATTCTTTTTTGGAAGGGAGCCCAGATCAGCTGAGGAGAAATGCAACATGCTTCCATACACTTTGACATTAACCATTAAAACAGAGAATGGTCTCTGCTCTAGAAAGTTGTGACTAGACTGAAAAACCAAGCCATTCTAAATATAGTGCTGTCATCAGTTAACAAAGCTCTAAAAAGGAGTCAGAGCATTTCGACAGATGATCGTCATAATGGTAATATGATTCCCTCAGGATCAGAGGCCACCTCAACACCTGTTGCTAGGGAATGGCAGCAAGAGAATATAAATTCCCTCATGTCCTGCTGATGGACTTCCTTCAGTTACCCTGAGTAGTGTGTAGACACTGGAAGTGCTGGGTACAAACTCTTGAATAAGATAGATACTTTATTTATTTGTGGTATTTATATGTCATCCGATAACAAAAGGTCCTCAGAGTGGCCCATACAGTAACACAGGTTAAAAATAAATATAACAGAGATCTAGACAAGTTGATCACTGTGAAAAATAAGGTGCTAGGTTAGATATGCCTTTGGCAAGATCCAGCAAGAGGCTTTTCATATTTGGATGCTGTTAAACCACTTGTCTCCAAAAAGGGGCTAAGGGATCACAGTGTGTACTTGTGCATTGCCCACATATCAAAAAAGCCAGCAGTATCTCACCATACAGACATGGGTGGACTTCTGCTTCCCGCATGTTTGTGTTAAAATTCATATGGCTACTGGATGGCTCTTCCTTTGCTGGATGAATATACTAGAATGGTGAATTGGTCAGAATTCACCATTCTAGTCTTTTTTGTTAGAAGATAGAAGTGTTGGACATTCTGTGTGTTTGAATAATATGCCTACCAGAGCTTCCAGATGGAGTCAGCCCCCACTGGCTGGAAGGGAACACACAGTTCTAAGATGTGTGTTTCTCTCTCTCTCTCTCTCTCTCTCTCTCTCTCTCTCTCTCTCTCTCTCTGTGTGTGTGTGTGTGTGAGAGAGAGAGAGAGAGAGAGAGAGAGAGAGAGAGAGAGAGAGAGAGAGGACAAGTACATGCACACACTATGTATCTAATTTTATGTAATGCTAAAGGTTTTATTAGTAACCAAATGTGTGTGTGCTTTAAAAAATAATAGCAGCAATGGGGAGTGTTCATTCTTAAACAATAAAATGGACATGATTGCTAAAATGGACACCTTTAGCATCACATCTGGTTTGGCTTTGACTGAAAGAGGTGGCTCAAGGAAGAAGAGAAGGACTGGAGAGCCTGTGGTCCAAACTGACTGGACTTGGGACTGCAGCTTTCTTGGTGGGGCATTGTCTCCCCAGGAGGATTGCCCATTTGCCTCAATCTATTGCTTGTGTATTTGTAATGAAAGCAAATATTAGCAATACACCATTTTCAGTACTCTTTCATTCAAGGGAAAGGTTGAGCATCTCTCTTGGTGAGGCTCCTTTATTGAAGCAACATACCAGAAACTCAACAAGAGTCCTTCAGCATTTCTTCTAGCACCTGGACAGAAACATTTGTATTAGGAAGTCATAAACAATGCAGCAGGACTCAGTGAGGTCAAGTTTTGTTTCTGATTTGAAAAGGAAGGTCTCACTATTTTTATGGAACTGCAAAGTTTGCAGTTCCCCCACTTGAACCAACATTCTATCTATATTATATATCCTGTTTTGTCTGGACATGGTCATCAGTGGACCTAACAGAATTGTCAGCATGGTTGAGGCCAGTGTTTACACCTGGCTGGCCCTCATGGGCATTTGAGGCCCCAGTGCTATTGTCTGACCTTAGTGCCCTTTCATCTTTTTCCAGGTAAATGCTGCAAGCAGTATGGAGTGGCTGGATCCAGCCACTATTTCAATTTCCCACAGGACCCCTGAAGTATTTTTGCTTCAAGGGCTCATGGGAAATTAAAATGGGAGCTCAATCCAGCTTCCTAGTGCCCTTTGGAGTGCTGTTGCCACTGCTGTATGTTAGGACACTTGGACAGCCCTCCTGCCCCTCCAGCCAGGGGGCACTTTGTCCAGGGTGTTGTCAACTTGAAATCATTCCTGCACAAAAATAAATCCTTAAGAACAAGCCAGAGTCAACAAAAGTACTGGCAAAAGAACCATGGAACAATTCAATATTGGCAACCTCTATCTCACCCTGTGTCAGCTGAGACAAATTTCCTGCTGCTCTTAGTACTTCAAGTACTATTTCCCTTGCCTGGGTTCTTGATGCTGCAATTGTGTTCCCAGTTCGTCTTTTGGCTATAACACTCCCCATACAGTATGAGTGTTCAATCGCTTCACGGCTCCATATAACGTCAGTTCATTCACGAATTATTCAGAAGACACCATCAGTAGGGCCACTTTACATAGGCCTTATCCAAAATTCTTAAATATTAGGGTTTTCCTATCCATCAATAAAATAGCAAGAGCACCAGAGGGCACTCTTGCATGGTTTTCGGGAACATTCATGTAATAGAACCGTAAATTATTTCCTGGGCTTTGGCTCTGTGAGTTGCAGAGGGAAACAAATTGGTAGCTTTGCATTCCTCATCATTATTGCACATTTTCTAGCAGTTTTCATTTGTTCTCCTGTCTTTGTTTCAGATCATGACAATCAGCTCAACCCTTAGAGCAACTCATAGCTTCTTGTGCAGCACTGGGACTGTGAAGGCAATAAGGGGAAGCAGGAGGAACTGTGTCTCAGAAAACAACCCATTTAATTTCTCTCCCACATCACAATCCTATTATACCAGCCTTCTTTAACCCTCTAAATCAGGGGTCTCAAACTCGCGGCCCGCGGGCCAATTGCCGGGACGGGCGGGGCACGGGGGAGGGGCCCTGCGGCCTTCAAAGCACCGGCGGCGCCCGGGTCGGCCTCTGGGAGCGACGCGGGATGAGCGGCCCACCACCACCGCTTGATGCGGCCCAGCCTCACCCAGACTCTACTTCCAGCGGCCCCCAGGTAAGTTGAGTTTGAGACCCCTGCTCTAAATATTTTGGACCTCAATTCCTCTCAGTCCCAGCAAGCAGAGCCAAAGATGAGGAATGCTAGCACTTCTGGAGATCATAGTACATCAGCTCAGCATCATTTTAAACAGGCAAACTCTCACTGCACTTATCATCACACCCATTCAGTTCAGGGACTCCAGAGGTGTTCTCCCTAGAGACCAATTCTGGCATTTTCACTCTTGCTATGACACCCTGAAAAGATCTGGTGAACTCATTTGGCTTGAAATGCTATGGCAGAACAGGTGAACCCCTTCATGATTCCCAGACTGATCCTACAAAGAGAAGCCTTAAGTGCTCTTCTTAGTGATGCCTCCCAATTAACCAGCCCTTTGCAGAATTGTATTCATTAACACAGATTGGGGTATAAAACAGCAGTTTCTAATGGGAAATGAATCAGACAATCAACTCAGCTCAAGGTGCCAGAAGAGAAACAGTCATTGCAAGCCTTATGGTTTTTTGATCAGCTCTGCTAAGAGTTTACACTAAAACTGACTGACAATGCCCCCAAAGACTCACTTCTCTCTCTCTCGCTCCATCTTCCCTTGAACAGCATCTTTAAAGGGAGCAATCAGAGATGCACATTCAAGGGCTGGATTTTCTCCTAAGACTTCTTAAAGGTACTCCTTCAAATTAAAGTTTAAATCAATGTTGTTTCAATTTGTGTGAAGTTTCAGTTTAACAAATTGACATGACTCCTTGAACTGGATTGCCAAATCAAAAAGCTAAGTAGCACAAGACAGCACATTCTATGACCCAGTTTACAGGCAACAAATCCTGGTTTATTTAACCCAAAATTAGTAGGGATGTACCTAGTATAATACTCTCTTCCAATTACTGTAATCAATCCCTTAGCTTCTAAACATTCCAGCCTGGTTTTACACATCAACTAACAAGCTTTAATCATACTGATCAGATATTTTATTTTTTACCATGGGTCATAGAAGCTCACACAGGGCATGCAGCATGGCCAATTGTGAGTTAATTAACCCAAGATTTTCCACAGCTACATGAGAAGCTTTTGGAGGCAGCACATTCCATGGATGAGGGGGACCAAAGGCAAAAGTGATGGGATCAAAAATGCCAGCTTATTTTAGCTTAAAGCTTTTACTGCCAGGAATTAAACCTTAGGAGAGGCATTTCAGTCATTCAGAATCGGGGTGGGGGGAACCATGCAAAGGGAAACCACCCAATGATCAGTAGATGGGGGAAGGGGCATGGCCCCCTGGGGACACTAGGAGGGCCAGTTTGGGTCTCCACACTTGAGGTTCTGCACTTCTGTTTCCATAGGCACTCTAGGAAGAAAGGTAGCAATGAACATAATTACCACTGGGAGTGGGCTGGGTGGGTCTGAACCCTGTTCATGGAACTCTGCCCTCACCTAACATGTTCAACTCAGTGATGATTCCTCAGGTTCAAGATTCAGATGGGGGTGAATGGTAGTCAGTGATCAACACAGGGATGCATCCAGATGAAGATTTCTGTGCCTTTTTTGGATTTAAGTGCAAATGCCCTGCTGCTTTCACAGAATCTTACAGAGGCTCGAGGGGTTGTCACCTTCCATTTATAACCCTCCTGTGTTTTCCCACCACTGCATCTGGCTTTTTTCTTAGCATAAAAACCAGTTAAGAAAGGAAAGACTGAAGAACTGCATGACACCTTTGGACTGGTAGTGCTAGGAGGCCTCTGTCTGGAAGCACCCAAAAAGGCCAAAGTGGCAACTAATACCCAGCAATGAACCAGTGTATCTGTCTATAAGTTTTATTATGTGCAGATAAGCTGGTTATGTGGCATTACGTACTAGTAAGGACAGGGAAACCTGCGGCTCTTCAGATTTCCTGGACTGTAACTCTCATCATTCCTGACCATTGGGTTGTGGCTGGTGGGAGCTACAGTCCAACAGCATCCCATCTTGTTCTACTGGAAAGGGCTGAATGAGCCCATTGTCTTTTGGCTCATTCGTAGCATACGTATAAAACCGGACTCTTGCCCTCACTCATTGTAACTTGCAGCTTGCACTGCTTCCCTTGCAACCATGAACCCTCCCATTCCTCCCACCCACCACCACTGGCCACTTGTGACCAGCCTAGCACCAGACATTCTGGTCACACATATTCTTCCTGTCACCCAAGCACTTACACTCCAGCTTATCCTCAGCCCGTCCCCTTTCCAGCAGTGACAGGTAGCAGACAATGTCCTTCAGGTAGACTACCTGAGCCAGTGGGGCTGGCGGGTTGGCTGTTTTCAGGGAGATGTGGCTCTTTCGGAGGTTGAATGGTAATTTCTTCTCCAAGCTTCTGGAGCCTAGAAAGGCAGACAGAAATGTTTCACACTTGCTTTAGAGTGACAGTACAGATGCTGTGCCATGCAGCCAGGGAGAGATCAGGCTTAATCCTCCAGGCCATATTTGGCTTGACGTGATCCTGCCAATATCCCAAGGAGCTCAGGAGAGGTTCACAGACTTTCACCAGCAGCCCAGCCTTGTGTGTCTTTTTTATCTCTAGTCATGTAAACTGATGTGGGCTGCAACAGCTTAGCACTGGGAAGAGCGCCAAAGTAGTCCTCCCACCAAGGGCAGGGGAGCAGACACTTCAGCTTGGCTTCTTGCTCTCAGGAAAGCTGTGTGTACTAACCTTCATCACTCTCTAGGGGATAAATGCCAGGAGGTTGTCCTGAACCTGCTAAGAACTGCATCAATGCACCTTTCTTTCTGTCTTCATTGGGAGAAATGCCAAGTGTGACATTTCACATTGTTTTTATTATTACTTCTTATCTTGTCATTTTACTCGGTTTGTGCTTGTTACTAGAACCTGGACTTGGTCTTCTGAGGACCTCCCTTTAGACAGCCATGCAAAGTGCTTGAGCTCCAAAGCACAGAACCTTTATTTCCCCTCTCCCCACCTAGCTCCATTTCCATTCCATGCTTGACAACCGCTTCTGCATCCTCAAGATGTTGGAACGGAAACAGCAAACTGTTAGCTGATCCCAATTAAAAACAAGACAAGATACGTGCATTTAGATTCACTGAAATGAGAACACGATTCTGATTCCAAAAATGAAATGGAATTGATTCTTCTTCACCAGACACTCCCTGGGAGATTTGGGGAAGGCAGTTGGGGGGATCAGCTGTGAGGTCTCGGACTTTGGCTCCAAGGTCCTGACCTAGCTGCATAACTACACGTATGGGGAATCCTTTTTCCCCTTCTCCAAGTGTTTCCTTGGGGCATGTTTAGAGCTTCATGTGGCAAGAGGGGGTCGTAGCCACATATGCGTGGTCCACTTCAGATCATCCTTGCCTTGAATTGATAACTTGTACAGGTCTTTTGAAATTAGGCAGAGGGCCAGATTTACTGCAGGCTGCCCTCTGCTGCCTTCCCAGCTCTTCCCACAATGAACATGTCTCCCATGTCCTTACCTTTAAAGCTCTTCATGGCATTGCAGCTTCTGAAATATCATTGCCAACTTCAATCACCATAAGCCAGCCTTTCCCAACCTGGCGTCCTCCAGACTACAACTCTAAGGATTCATGACAACATTAGCCATGCCAGCTGTGGCTGATGGGGACTGAAATCCAAAGTGTGTGGAGGGGACCAGGTTAGGGAAGGCTGCTCCAGATCTGACCCTGCTCATAGACCACTCACATGAGTTCCTAAATCTGTATGCGGTGTGTGATCATGCATATTTGTATGAGAAAATATGCTCATGTGTGTGATATCTGAGAAGGATGATACAACCAGGAGGTAAAAACCCACACACATGGAAGAGGCCAGATTGTTGAAATAAAGAAATTGATATACAGAAGAACTTAGCCACTGTAGACACAGGCACATTTGAGAAGTGTTCCAACCTTTAAGACTTGATTATGATGACACTTAATTTCACACTTTTTTTCTCTTGCACAATGATCTACATGAACCTCCCCCTTTTATCTTCACAACAACCCTGTGAGGTAGGTTAGGTTGAGAGTAGTGACTGGCTCGAAGACACCCAGAGAGCTTCTTGGCTGAGTGGGGATTAAATCCAGATTTCCTGAATCCTAGGTCAATACTCTAACCACTACACCTCACAGATATTTATATCTTTCTTCTTGCACTCAGCTTTCTCTAGCAAAAGGAGTGCTTTGGAGGCAGTGACTCACTCCGTGGGTCCCCCAGTCTGGTGCCTGTTGCCATGGATATTAGCTGTCAGATCCCAGCAGGAAAACAGGTCTCCCCACTGCTACGCCGACAAAATGCAAATATCTGGAGGTGTGAAGATGTCCTAATATCAATGTGGCTTCACAGCTGAGCTTTGTCTGTCAGTGACACTGACACAAATAAATTAGCTTGCTGCAAATACAAGCCGATGTTTGCAAAGTCAACAGCGATGCACTTCCCAGGGTGTTTCAGAGGAAACTCCCAGGAGCACCTGACAGCCACCACGCAACACATGGATGTGGCTGGGCCTGTGAGGAGACAGTATGTGCAAAGGAACATGGCTATCAGCTAATCTTGAGTGAATTATCTTTTGAAATCACTGGCTTGAGGTAGAGGGCTTTGCTTCCCACATTCTCACAGGGATCAGAAGTGCACCTGCTCAGCAGCCACTTCTGCTTCAGGTTTCCTTAGCACATGCTTGCCAGTTTTGACAGATCAGGAAGAATATTGCCAGTGGTGGCTTTCACCCATGAAATCAGCTCCATACAGCTACATGTAGGCAAGGCCAGACAGTGGCTATGTACACAAGAAGCCTCAGGAAGAGAACCACAAACATGAGACTCACCTGGGGATTGAGGGCTAAGCACAGAACCTGAGGAGATCTTGGAGGACCCTGAGGAGTTGTGAGCAGAGGGGGTACCGGCAGTGGACTTCTGTGAGGATGATCTGGACCAGTTAGGAGAGGCATTCCCAAGGGCATTAGCATTGGCAGTCGGAGTGGGACTCAGAGATGCTGATTGTTGCTCTGCCAGGTTTGGCTGGGAGCTTTTGGATTCAGGTGTGTGCCTTCCCATGGTACTTAGGAGGGTTTTCCCATTGATCCCTGGAATTCAAACACAGCATGGCGTCAGTACTCTTGAATGGGCACACAAGCGAGAAGTCTGGAGCAGCTCTGCTGTTCTGGAGCCCATCCTGGGCAAGGGCTGTTTTTCATAATAAGAAATGTACAGATTCCTGAAAAGACAACTATGTTGAGATGCCCGTTATATCCTGCCAAATGCCTGGCAACAGTGGAATGTTTTAATCAACCAACAAGATGATATAATTAGCATTGGAAAAGCTTCAAGAGGGAGAACCTGATGCAACTGGAAGTTGACTGAAAGGTCTTCCCCTTTGTTGCCATCCTTCCAACCTACTTCAGGTATCAGGTGAAGGCCTCACATGTTGACCATAGCGCAGGACTACTTTCATAACCAGAAAATCCTCCATCAGTTCTCAGAGTCCCAAGCAACATTAGGCTTTATAAATAAAACAGCACCTTGAATGGGTGTTACAAACATACAAGCAGCCAGTCCAAGTGGGCTGGGACTGGCATTATATGCTCAAGTCTCAAACAAGGCAGCTTTGTTTATCCTGAAATGTGCTCTTTGCTTCATATTCCTCTCTACAGAAAGACTTTTACCACAGCCCGATTTCATTCCTATTGCTACTGGACTAGTGATGGTAGACTCACAAACATGTAGGTAGCCTTGCTTCCAAGAGATGGGGACCTATTTCAGAAAACCACACTTCCTTCTCATTCTTTCCAGGCCCCCTTCCATGTCTCCTGTTACTTTATCTCCCTGCTTGAAAAGGTTTTGTTTTTCCGGCTCTCCTCAGAGGTTCTGCTCTAGTTGCCCACTCTGCTGTGTTTGTGCTGCTTGCTCCCCAGCAGAGCTAAGCAGTGACTTGTATATGCTAGTGCATATGCATAGTTACAAGTTTACATCGAATTACCATAAATTATGTAGAAATATAGTACATCTCCCCCTAGGGGGGAAGATAGCAGCTATTCAGTTTGCCATTGGTGCTAATTATTGATGGGCATGTTCAAGGGCATTGCTGTTCTCCCTTCCTATCATTCTGCATCTAGACAGCCCTCTTGCAGAGGACACCTTCCACTAGGGTACTGTACCTGGACCAGGAGACATGGGCATCCTAAACATGACCCTTTTACTGTTCCAATTACACTTGCTACCAATCCATTTCCAGACTCAGTTACCTTCCAAGTCCTAAACCATTTGGGGCCAGGATACTTGGACAACTGACCCATCCAGTATGAACCTGCCCAACCTTTAGGACCAGCAGAGGCCTCTTTGTTTGCACAACCTCTATCAGGCACGTATCCGGATACAGCATGGAAAAGAGCCTTTTCTGTGCTCCCACTGCCAGATTATGATACTTGCTGGACTTGAAAAGCCTCCTTTTAATAAATTTACACCACCTCTTAAAGACTGGCTTGCTTTATTTTAGTAGGCATGTTTAATCTGCTTGGCTGTTTAAGCTGTACTCTTACACTTTTTGACTTATACATTTAGCTGGTTTCTACTGTCATATCTTAGCGTCTGTGTTGTTTGCTCCCTTGGGCTTCCCTCATTGGAAAGATGGGGCATGCAGCTGTTAAAGCAAACAGTGTGGCACAGCTCAGACTAATTGGATAAGGTCATCTGTTTTCAGTTGACTTTACTTGTTCACTGCTAGCCTAACCTTGCTGCAATTGAGTGGCATGAATGGAGTCAGGACCTGTGGGACTGTTTTCACCTTTAACTCACCTCTGAAAGAGAATTCTTGCAGTAATGAAGAGAGCAAGAGGAGTGCAACACAGAGTGAAAGCACAAAGCATTAAAAAACCTGCCATTAAACACAATAAGGGAAGCACTGTGTGTCATTTGTTCTATCCTAGCCAATCATGTATCACCCCAAAAGAAGAAATGCATCATCATAAAAAAGACAAATTAGAGCAGACAGTTCCATAAAATATGCATCATCTAATTGATACATACAGAGGCCAATTAAGAAAAAAGTATAATGTAAATAGAAATATGATGACATCTCATCATAACAAGGGAAGGTGTAACCTGCATGGCTGACTAGCTGGCTGTCCAGCTGCTAACTGCCGATGAACAGTTTCAAGGCCCTGCCCTCCCTTTTTCCGGCTTTTTAGCTTCAAACAGGACAGTCCGTCAGATAGTGCAGGGGTGGGTAACTTTGGAGAGGAAGGGGACTGCATCGCTCCTCAAAACCCTCCAGGGCCTTTACCCCTGCCCCCCATGGAAGCAGCTGCATTGCCACTTGAAGTGGCTGGAATTCCAGGCTCCTTGAGCAATTCTGCCGGGAAGCACAGAGCTATTTGTGGGGAGACCCTCATATGCTTGACACATGATCATTAGATGCTATTTGTTTGCTAAAATAGCAATTCTGCTCAGAAACAAGGTACACAGGGAGCAGTGGCCTGTTTCCAGTTTGAATCATGCTCCTGACTGCCCACAAAGCAGTTGTGGCATAGCAGGGTGATTTTCAGTGGCACAGCAGAGGCAGTAACTGGGGAGGGGGCACAAGTGGCCTGGGTGGAGGACATACACATGTTGTGCAGCCCTGAAGTAGACAATACCCTCAATAGAGGACTGTCCTTTGTAAAGTAGGACACATGACCTCTCTGTTGTATCCTGGAGGATGCATGGTGACTGGATTTTCTACTGCTGGCTAGGAGATGGATGTTAAACGTAATAATCAGTTTCCATTAACAAGGATTCATTAACCAGTTCTTGTTCCCAGGCATTAATCCTGCATTCATGGGTGCTTTTAGGAAAGGAAAACAGCACAACAGTTTTGTAAGCACTATCAATCCACTCTTCCTCTTTCATCCAGTTGTCTTCTTTAGGTTTCAAGACAGGTGTAGAAAATGTATTTCTTGGAGTAGTTTCACAGGCACTAAGGAATAGACTATGGAGTTAATTGGTAGTTTAAAAAAAATGAATCAGAGTCAGGCTCTGTATAGAAGCTAGGATGAAGGAAGTCCCATGTTGTGAGTGGAAAGAATGGGGCTAAAGGACAGCTTTCAGACATATACAGCTGAGCAAGCCTATGGGACTACCTGACCTATTCACATGGTAATCACAGCTCACTGTGGCTTATGAGGCCATGGTGGGTTGCAAGTAGCACCCTGAGGTTCTAGGCTGCTGATTCAAGGCTCCCACAAGACTTCTTAAATCAACCAAACCCAGCAAGGGTGGCTATGTTCACCCAACATGACACCTCACAACTGCTTCCCACAGGTTTGGTTGTTTTACAAAAGGCACCCTGAAAACCCATAGTTTGTTTTAGGAGCTGCTCAGCTTATGATGGGTTGTCAATTTGTCCAAACCATCATGGGTTATGGGGATCAGCTAGCAAGCCACTTAAAAGGATAGCTTAGCATATCCTGTGAACAAAGCTTTCAACAACTTGTTAACCACCTCAACAAGCCACCTTCACTGGGCTCAGATGACACAAGAAACCACACCCAGTGAGCATAGTTATGGAAATCCGTTGGCAGGCACTGAGTAGTTAACAAGCCACCATGGTTTGTTAACTACCCTGTGACTGTGTGAACCAGGATTTCATGTTTGGGAATGCGCAGCTGTTCCTAACAGCAAAGCAGGTTTCAGCTATTTATTGGTCATTCCTTTTAACAGTTTAAAGAGGTCACTGCTAAGATATGAAATCTAGCAAGCTATCAATCTTAAGTTTATCAGAGAAACTGAAGAACATAACAAGTCTCTCAAGAAGCTTGTGAGCTCCTCTTTTCTCAGAATGCCCTACACATAATTTCAGCACAGCCTGTCATTTCCTAAAACATGTTTGAACAAGCTCCACTTGCCTCCTTTGCAATTACTAGGTAGTCAGAGAAAAGGATATATTCCCTTTCATCATCTTCTGTATCCAGCTGGGATGGAAGAGATGCCACTTCACTGCAATACCAAGAACTGCAGCACTGAAAGACAGTCATCCCTGCATAGCAACTGTTTCCTGGCAAGACGTAATGGTTACAAATGCCAGGCCACCTTGAAATAATGGGAGAGAGTTTGTAAAAAGCTTTGGCACCCAAGCACTGTTTGTTCAAAATGTTTATTGAGCTGCTGCGTATCTCTCTCTGGGTAGGATTCCAGAGAGGGGAGTCCCTGGTTAAAAAAGCGGGGAGGGGTGGGAGGAGGAAGCAATACAGTGCCAGAGCTGAAGCTGAACAGAGCCCTCCCTGTTTACATCTGTCTGTGCAGCTCCCTGTTAAATGAAGAACGGGGGTTTCATGTACTCTTCAACTGCTCATAGCAGATACCTGTAACAGGAGCACAAGCGACTTCAGTCTGGATGGAGATACCTGTGTCAATGGTCTTGGACTCTGCATGCAAGAAAGAGAAGAATAAACACAGACTTTAGTAATGGCTGCTTGCTAAATGTTTATTGCAATCTGTCTATCCATGCATCAGACAAATGTTTATTGTAATGTTATTGCAAAGGAGTGCAGAAAACAGCCGTCGTGTTCTTTTGCTCCTTTCCTAGAAAAGCATGTCAAGTACTTGGTTAGAAATACACAGGGTTGCATGCCCATTTTATTCTGCCTGCTCTTCGGTGCAAACTACAACCAGGCGCTATCGGGCTCTGGCCAAAGTTGTGGCTGACTCTACCTAAATCTAGGCTGGAGGGTCTGTGGAGAAGTAAAAGCAGTGTGGAGCTGAAGGAGCTGGAAGTATAGTGGTGTTTCTCTGTGGAGCTAAGCAGCAGCTGAAGGCTAGGCTTCCAGCATTTATGCCAGGCCGGATCCATCCAGTCCCTTCATGCTACATTCCAAATGTAGAAGATGTTCTTGCATACCTTAGCCCCTTAAGAGGTCTGAAGCTAAAGAATCCATAGTACCAGTTTACTTGCCAAATGAGATCCCAGATCATGACAATTCTGGATCAAGCCCCTGAATCTAACAATGGGCACAGTGTATCCAGGATGAGTCTAGCATGTGATAAAGGGACTGCTCCACCATGTACAGTATGTACCCAGCTTACAAGTTCTTACAATCCAGTCCAGTACATTTTGGGCCAGTAAGCACACTTTGAATTTTAGGACCATTGTAAACTGCCATAAGCCCAGGCAGACCACTAGTCCATCTAGTCTAGTATCGTTGACACTGACTGGCAGCAGCTCTCCAGGGTTTCAGGCAGGCGTTCCTCCATCCCTATTTGGAAATGCTGGGGAATGAACTTGGGCTTTTCTGCATGCAAAGCAGGTACTGTGCCACTGAGCCATGAAAAGAGCCACTGTCACAAAATGACTGCCATGAAAAATTGCTCATTCAGAAAAGGGCAGCTGACCAAGATCATCATGACTAGTTCCAAAATACTTATTTAATAGAAGGTCCAAATGGGGAGTTAGAAGCCACAAGACCTGCCCAAGAATCTAGATACAAGAAGTAGGCACTGAGATTCAAAGCACAATCTCACTTCTTTGAATGCACACTTTTCTCATTTATGATCCCTGAAACATACACATGTTCTCTCCCCACCCACCCACCCACCCCTCTAGAACACAAGATCTATTCATCCCAGGCACTCATTGTGCTTTTCTGGATCACCTCCCCCTACACACACTCTTCCCAATGTTCTCCCCCACTTCGATCTGGGTCACCTCTGCAGCCCTCCTCACCCCAGCTCCAGTCTCACCACGTAGTTCACTCCCATCATGGGCTGCCCACTTCCTTCTCCTCACTCACTTAGGACACCTCTGGCTTTCTCCCCCAGTTTGTCTGCTGCCATTCCCAAGCTGCCTCCCTTACTGGACAGTGGCAATGAGATCAATCCTTTCCTCCCCATTTTTTTTTGGGGGGGGAGGGGGGCTGCCCTCTGGTCACCTGCTTTTTTTACTTCCTAAGTATGCCTCTGGTTCTATATGCATTCCAGAGACATTCAGTGGCATAAGAAAAGCAGATGACAGGAGGTTAGCACTTCACCTTAAAACCACCACAGCAGTGGCAGCACATATATGACAGGTAATAGTAGGCCACTTCACGCATGCAGGGGAGGTCTCTGCAAATCCACTGGAGCCCACGGGCATCACATGGCCACACACCATCTAGCCACTCTATTACCCTGTTTCCACAGCTGATATGCTGCTATATCTTAATTTACTGTGCCTAGCAGTGGGCATATTTTAAATGAGTCTCCTGTTGGACAACCTGTAGAATACTGGAGGTGGAATGTGGCAGAAATCCACAATGGATTCAAATGAGTTCAGAGTTCTATGAATTCAGCCTGCAGATTCCTCAGTCGCCTCACATTTTCTGAGCGCCATATACTCTGCCAGCTTGAGGATCGGTTCTTAACTTGGGGTGAAGGATTTGTGCACATTTGCAGTAGCGCACACTAGCATGAATGCACATTTGTAGAAATGGAATGCATTCCTTGTACAACCCTGCCCCTCCCCTCAATTCTATCAATCTGCAAAGCCCAGATGAAACCAAAAGCACACACCCCAGCTGGAAAGTATGTGAACAGGAACTTCTGGACCTGGGACAAGCAGCCACAATAGGGTATGCATGGCTAACTGCAAAGAATATATTTTACAAGCTTTTGCCATGTAACTATTATACACAAGTATTACACCTTGCCATTGTATACATATATGAACAGCAAACCCATTCTGAACACCCATCTTTATATAGCCCAGAACTGCACCTTTCATATACAAGGGGGACCAAGACTTGCAGAAGTAGAACATCTTTGCGGTGGCAGAGAGACCCTCCAAGTGGCTCAATGAGTCCTGGGGATGATCAGTGGGCACAGAATGCTGACTAACTATTGTTGGAAAAACCTGGGAAACTTGGTGCGGGAGAAACAGAATGGAGTAGCTCAGAAGAGGCGGACTAGAACCCTGAGCAAGAAGCATTCCGAGAGCCAGTGTGGTGTGGTGGTTAGCAAGTTCAGCTGGGAGTCAGAAGAACCAGTTGACCATGAAGCTCACCAGGTGACTTTGGGCCAGTCCCACTCAGCCTAACCTACCTCACAGGCTAGTTGTGAGGTGAAATGGGGAGGAGGAGGAGGATCATGGAAGCCACCTGAGTTTCCTTGTAAGGTGAAAAGGGCAGGATATAAATATACTAGGAAATAGGAAAATATGATAAGTAAATATTATAATAAATCACTACACCTTGTTCCTTTCTAAAAATAATTCTACCAAAGATGACCACTAAGGACATTCCAGCTTTATAACTAGTTTTAATTTCTCTGAACATGAAATTGTGAATTTAAATCATACAAGCAAACAATTAACTGACATTAGCCTTCTCCAACTCGGTGCCCCCAAAAGTGTTCAACTGAAAATTCCAGCTTGCAGTCCACCCAGGATATCTGCAGGGTGCAAGTTGGGGAAAGGAGGTACTAAATGGTGGCCAGACAGGTCTGAGGAAGTGCACCCACGATGCTCACCAAGATTGCTGAGCTGTGGAATGCTGGAACTTTGCCGCTGGCTCTCTGGAGAATACTGGCAGACTTTTCGTTTGAAGGACATGAAGAGGTGTTGGCAGAGCTCTTCTGGAATATCCACCTCCAGATAAGTTCTCATGAAGAGCTGGAACCCTTCATAGTCAATAGGCTATAGAAAAAGGAGTGAAGAAAAAACCCCATTAGAAATGCTGCCACTTAGCATTTGCCTCCTGATGTTAGAAAGAGGCTGCCCACTTATCAAGTGAACTGTTCCATAATACTAATCATTGCACTGTGTGGAACAGCTGCATCAACAATCGAGCTTTCTGGCTATTGCTAGTGCACAATGGTGCCCTCTAAGGTAGCAATTACCCAGTTGTGAACAAGGACCAATCAATGTGTCAGTGTGGATGCGCCAATAGGAAGATGTCCAAGGAGGATGTTGCGGGTAGAGGGCCTAAGCATTTCAGGTCAATAAAATAACCTCTACTCCTGCCTGTAGTTTACTTTCCTTAGAATGAAGAGAAGGACTGTCCTCAACTATTTTTGAAAGCAGCCATTTGCTGTTTTTATGTCATGGTTGCTGATGTTAAGCTCACCCTCAGTGTTAATTGGCAATTTAAAATTTGCAATGCATATTTGAAATGGTATATTATGGATAGAAACTTAGAAACAGAAAACAGAGCAAGTCAGAAGGGGTCTCCCAGGCCATCTAGTCTGACCTCTGGCACCAGCCGGCTCCGCTCACGACATGCCCACCATGTGGACGTCCAGCCTATCCTTGAACACCCGCATCGATGGGGCCTCAACGACCTCTCGCGGAAGCCCATTCCACACCCTCAGGGTCCTGACTGTCAGGAAGTGCTTCCTGGCATCCAAACGAAACCTTGGCTCCCTGAGCTTTGCTCCGTTGGAGCGCGTTCTGCCACATTTATGTATTATCAGATAAACTGATAATATATGTGGATGAGCCATGGTCGTAGGAAAGGTGACAACTTTGGGCCACAGATCATGGTCTGAATGGCATTGTGCTCAGGTTGCCCCAACAAAGCAAACAAAAAACTGTGAAAAGCAATGCTCTCCTCCCCTCTCCCCTACACATACACAATGAGTACTCTTAGGTGGTAGCAATTGCTTTCTGTCTGTGGTGCACAATTAGATTAAATAGGCTACATCTAAGGTTATGGAAGCAGACTTGAGCAAACATAATAGGCATTTCCCTTCTCCTGTAGCCCACCCACATGATGACCAATCTACTCCTAGTTTCCTGGAAAACCCCAGAGTAGATTTGAGAATGTGGAGGGGCTGCAGTGGAAGAAGGAAAATTTGGTCCACTGGCCAAAGGACACTGTTGGACACAAACCATGAAGGTTCAAATAGATACACTGTGTCAGTAGTAATGCTGAGATCCAGAACCCGGGCAAGAGAGAGAAGGCATACTTGGGGACCAGCTTGCAATGTGCATTCTGCAATTGCAACAGTCTAGGTTTCAAACCTTTGGGGAAAATATCATTGTACTGAGAGAAAACACATGTGCATTCCAAGAACAAATGTAAAGAAACTGTCACAGACTGTACAGGAGAATTTCATCGGCGTGTGTCTCCGTATCCCAATAGAAAAGAGAGTGAAACATATCAGAATATAAACACACACCAAGACCTTACATATAGTAGTAATGCATTGACCTCTACCTGATGCCTTTCCCAAAGCAGGTATACGTAATGGACCATATACATCTATAGACAACAGAAATGCATAGCAGAACTCATATAGTACTTCTTTGCAACTAGGTAGAGTCAGATTGCAAGAATACACAATACATGTAAGTACACCACAAGGAAATGCAGTGATGCATTTCTTACACACACACACACACACGTTGATAGCACTGGTACACATCAAATTATATTTGCATGTGGATGGCAGCAGCAGTAACACCTAAATAAGAAATGCTGCTAAAGCTCGTCAAGAACTCACATCAAAACAAAAGCTAAAGAGCTCAGCACAAGCTGTGGAAAGTAATTCTGGCAAGTTCTTTTGGGGTGTCTTTGGAGACGCTGCTGGAACCAACTGGGCAGGTTGTGTTGTCAAGCTTGAGGAACAGCAGGATTCTCCATATATGATGCATCTCTCTCACCTGCTCCATTTGGGGCCACTGCTTTGCTTGCAAATCTAGAAACCATGGACTCTTCTTCCAGATCTAGACTAGTGGACTCTCAGCACCCAAGCTAGGGTTGAGCCCTGAGGGAAGCAGCTGGTCAATCAGCCCCTCATAGGCTCTGCTAGAAGGAAGCTATGAGGGGCAAGGCATGCTCATGCAGCAGCTATGCTGGGTAAGCAAGAGCCTAATACGGCTGGGACAAAAAGCACTTCTCACAGTGCTCTGCTGGAGTACTTCCTCAAGTCATTGCTCCAGCAAGGGCCTAGCAGCAACTGAGGGCTGAAGTAAGCTGCTCAAGCCAGGAGCCTCAGAAGCTCAACCTTCTCTGAAGTACTGACAAGGGTTCTGTAGCCCCAAGCTCCAACACAGCTGAGAGACCACAGATGTTCTGCGAGAACCATTCTTGGAGGCTACTGATGGAAAAGCTGGCTGGCTCACCATTCTGAGAGTATCTGCTAATGGTATATAAAAACTTTAAAAAAATAATTACAGCTGAAACTTTGGGTTTGAAGCGGGGTGAGTACGTTCTGTTCTGAAGTTCCTCCTTGGATTGGGATGAACAGTGTCTCAGCGAGCCCAAACTCCTCTCTGGGGTGAAATGGAGCCTCCAGACTGAAGTTCATGCCACTCAGATAGCTTTCCATTACTTTGGCCCCAAAATAGGCAGCAGATATTTAACAGTTAGTAGGTGGTTCACAGCTTTCATGGTGCTGCTACTTTGAGAAACATCCCGGGAACCAAGAATGGGGAGGTGGATGGTGTCAAAGGCAACACAAGGTTTCTTAGAGATGCTGAAAAACTGCTTTCCCCCTAGATCAGGGGTCTCAAACTCAACTTACCTGGGGGCCGCTGGAAGTAGAGTCTGGGTGAGGCTGGGCCACATCAAGTATTCCACCAGCGTGGTGGTGGTGGGCCGCTCATCCAGAGGCCGGCCCAGGCACTGCCGGCGCTTTGAAGGCCACAGGGCCCCTCCCCTGTGCCCTGCCCGTCCCGGCAATTGGGCCACGAGTTTGAGACCCCTGCCCTGGATACTCTGTTCCATTATTTCTTCTCCATTGTCAGCATTCTGAAGCTACGGTATGTGCTCAGTCCTCACTGTGCTGTCTGGAGGGTTCTTTTGCCTTGTTTGGGTTTTTACATCTGCTAGCTTTGGGGTTTCCCAAGGGTGTTTATAGGTGGTACCCATATAGTAATTGGCACCTGGAGAACTGAGTATGCTGTTGGCATATATAAAATGGAAAGAAAACTGATTCTAGGCTCCATCTGAAGTAAACTTTATATTTACATCACAGACGGATCTAAGGAAAAGCCATTCTGAGGCTTGGGTATGAATGCTGTTACATTTATAATCATATGGTTTCTACAAAATGCTCCGCATTTGTGGAAAACAATTTTCTGCTTGGTGGAAGAATGACAACATCAATTGCCTTTTCGATTGATTAACGAGACAAAGTGTCTTTGAGCATTTAGCCCTCTCTACATGGATTCCCAGAGAATACGGGTGCAGCCTTGAGGTTCTGTTGCTTTTTTATGGAGGGCAGACTGCAACCGCATGCCATAAGCTCAAGCCGACTTTGTGCTTTTAGGGCTCTCAGTTTATGCCAAAGCAAACATGCAAAGCAACATATACCACATGGCAGTAGAAAAGGAGTCTTACTTGGTTTAGAGTGTCTTGCTTCTGAGGAAATGAAGAGCAGGAAAAGACAAAGGAAAGTTAAGCGAAGAACTGTAGAACAGAAGCAGCTACTCTGAAGGAGAAAGGCAATTCAAATATCCATGAGCCTTCTCCTCATCCCCAGACTTGGTTTGAAAGAGGTTCACAGCTATAGGCTGTTCTTAAGCTACTGCTAAGTACAAGGGACTGAAAAGATGTGGGGCCCAGACCCTTGGGGAAAAAGAGCTAATCCACATTTTCCTCTAAAGTTTGTTTATTAAGGGCACCTCTATTTGTAAAAAGGGAAGTATGGACTGGGGAGGAAAGGGCACTGGATTTCAGGAAAAAAAATCAGGCAGAAAGATTCTGAGGAGACAGCAGGAGGGTAACCCTTTTTGGGCAAAATGCTGGCTACTCTATAGGGAATCAGGTGCAGAAGAGATCATCAGTGCCCCTGTACTTTTATTTCAGCAAGAGCAGGGTGGTGGGGCAGATGTCTTCCCACAGAGATTTGGGGCTCCAATTGAAAGAGCCAAGACTTCATCCCTCGTGGGCTGCCGTCTTTCACTGCATCCGTTCAGGTAGTAAGACAGTTATATTTTGCTTGGCTTTTAACCAAAGCCATTTCTCTTACTGTTATGCCCCCTCAATATTTGTTGTATTCTGGCTTCTCCCTGTTTCTTTCTTTTTTTTTTTTTTTTTAGATTTTTACTCAGCTTTCCAATGTTGTGGTTATTTTTTAATTTGTTCCTATCTTTTCATTCCATATATTATTATGAAGGCATTCTGGTGGAGAAGTAGCCTATAAGTACAAATGTAAGGAAATAAACCATGTAAAAATGCTGTATTTTAGAGCCAAAATTTTGTGCAAATAAGCATGCAAAGCACTTGAAGACACACACACACACACACACACACAGAGAAGACAACCCATCTGAAATATCCTGGGCAAGATAGGAGAAAACAGGAAACTGTATTCAGAAATGAATCCAAAGGCTGTAGATGTGCCCTTAGAGAGAAGGTGGTGAAGAGAGAAACACCAATGTTCATTTGGAAGCAGAACATGGGCAAACACTCCCTAAAATCAAGATTCACTGAATCTAGGGTGCCTCTAGATAGAACAGGCCTTGTGCTGACTTATTAAAAGATATTGTGCAGTTCTTCCGTTTTTTCTTCCTTAAAGCTTCCTTAAACATTTTCCATGGCAAAGAAAAAAATGGTGGTGAAAAAATATGGAAGGTTTACAAGTGGAAGACAACAACCATGACTGGACCACCCTGTAAAATTCCATGGATGCAGTGGGGTGACTTCACATTAGGGCATAACCCTCTTCCTGTTTTGACAGCAAAAAGTCTGGCTGGCTTGGTCATGCTGGGAACTGTAGGACTTTGTCCTGTCTAAACATGCATAGGATTTCACCTTTAAAACTTCCTGAAGCATCCTTGCAGTGGCTGCTTAAACGTCATCAAAAGAAAAATACAAAAGGGGACATGTATTTACAAACAATTGCACATGCCCTGTACAGATAGAAAATCTGGAGAATTCCTATAATGTGTATATATACCTCACCATAGTGTGGACAAATGCAATCGGGTGACTTGTCCTGCTTGCTTAGTTATCCAGGTGTTAACTGTGTATGAGCAGCTTCAAGAACCCTCCAGCTCTCCCTTCTTATAGTTCTTTAGCCTTAAAAGAGACTTGAGCGGACTGTCTCCTAAAATAAAATACAGGACTGTCCTCAGGCAGCCCATCAAACAGGACCATTAACTGTAAAGTAGGGTACCAGGCTGTCTTAACTGAAAGTTGCCCTTTGTTCCTAGTGCTAGCAATGTGACAACTGGTACAGGTGAGCTGTAACATATTCTGGAGCTGACTACCAACAACCATGGGGTATTCTCTTAAAGCGTGGGAAATAACAGCCCCACTCTGGCTTTCCTTAAGTAAGGTGGGAAGGAGCCTGGAGTGGTATAATTGTGAGTGGTGGGTTATTGCTCGCTCACCCTGGAAATTATTACTGCAGGGATAAAGTACTGGGAGGGCCCTTAAACAAATGAAACCTAAATACACAAAGGGTCTGACAGAAAAATCCCTCCCTCACCCATACACCCTGCTCTGGTCAGCTTCCTACGCATCCTCTGCTGGAAAACTAATCTATTCTTCAAAGAGACTTCAAAAGCAATTAGTCATTAAACCCAACCGCAAATGCAGTAATTTCACCAAGCAGGTAGTAATGAATTATGCCCACATGGGTTGCTTTGTGCACTAGGAACAATCATAGCAATACCTCCTGCCATGGGATACAAACAGCGGCATGTGCTCTTGGTGGAACACAACGCAGCCCACTGACAGCCACCTACCGGCACATGGCGTTGGCCCTGCTCTTGCCTAAGTGCCTAATGAACGTACTTCTTAACAGAGAGCACAGTTGCAATTTCTGCTGCTTCTTTTGTTGGCTTGTCCTAGTAATTACTTCATGTGTCAAGAACTTCCCCACAATTTTGTGCCCATTTCTCATTTAATTTCATCTGATAAGCTACACTTTCGGTGCCTTTTCTGTTCTTCAATAACTCCACAGTGATTTCCTTTTCTTACCTGGGAACAACCCATTATTATTGTTCATACTAATCTACTTTTCCTATAGGAGCAAAGAAAGCCCCCATTTCCTCATGTCTGTTGCCCTTCAGAAAAGTTCTCTCTCCACCCCGCTCTTTCTGAAGTGATAGTGAAACTGATTATCTGGAACCATTTCAGTCCGGCTTCAGACCCGGGTACGGTACTGAATCTGCCTTGGTCGCCCTGTACGATGACCTGTGCAGGGAGAAGGACAGGGGGAGTGCATCCCTGTTGGTTCTTCTGGACCTCTCGGCGGCTTTTGATACCATCGATCATGGTATCCTTCTGGATAGGCTGGCGGGATTGGGGGTTGGAGGCACTGCTTTGCAGTGGTTCCGCTCCTATCTCAACGGTCGATTCCAGAAGGTAGTGCTGGGGGACCATGTCTCTACGTCATGGCAGCTATGCCATGGAGTACCACAGGGCTCCATTCTATCCCCTCTGCTATTTAACATCTATATGAAACCGCTGGGAGAGGTCATCAGGAGGTGTGGGCTGCGGAATCATCAATACGCTGATGATACCCAGCTCTACCTCTCGTTTTCCACTAATCCAGGTGAGGCAGTAGCTGTGCTGAACCGGTGCTTGGCCGAGGTAATGGAATGGATGAGGGCCAATAAACTGAAACTCAACCCAGACAAGACGGAGGTCCTGTTGGTTGGCGGATTGGGCTTCGGAGAGGGTGGATTTGACCTGGTCCTGAATGGTGCAACACTCCCTCTTAGGGACAAGGTCCGCAGCTTAGGAGTACTCCTCGACCCAGAGCTTTCTTTGGAAGCTCAGGTGACAGCGGTGGCGAGGAGCGCCTTTCTTCAGCTTCGGCTGATTAATCAGCTGAGCCCCTACCTGGAGTACGACTGCCTGGCGACGGTGACACACGCGCTGGTGACTTCCCGCCTAGACTTCTGTAACGTGCTTTACGTGGGGCTTCCCCTGAAGACGGTCCGAACACTTCAATTGGTGCAAAATAGAGCTGCCAGGTTGCTGACGGGGACGGGGCGTTATGCTCACATGACTCCAGTCCTCCGTCAGCTTCACTGGCTTCCCATTGAAGCCCGGGCCCAATTCAAGGTGTTATGACCTATAAAGCCCTAAACGGCTTGGGTCCTGGCTATCTGAACAAGCGCTTACATCCGTATATGCCCGACCGCCCTTTGAGATCTGCGGGAGAGTCACTTCTCCAGGAACCCTCCATGAAAGGAATTAGGAGAGTAAGTACTCGGAGGAGGGCTTTCTCTGCGGTGGTGCCCAACCTATGAAATTCACTCCCCAAAGAGGTCCGCCTGGCACCGTCGTTACTGGTTTTTCGGCGCCAGGTAAAGACCTTTTTATTTAAACATCATTTTAATCGTTAAAACATATGATCTGGCCAGAATAACTTCTTCTTCCTTCTCTTTTCTCCTCCTATATTATTTATTTACTTATTTTATACTGATAATTTTAATTTTATATTATTATGTTTGTAACTCAGTGTATTTTTTGTATTTTTGTATTTAATGGTAATTTATTACGTTCTATTGTATTTCAATGTATTTTATTGTGTTGTAAGCTGCCCCGAGGCTTCGGCAAGGGGCGGCATAGAAATGTAATAATAATAATAATAATAATAATAATAATAATAATAATAATAGTAGTAGTAGTAGTAGTAGTAGTAGTAGTAGTAGTAGTAGTAAAAGACGGGATCTTTCTATTGTACTTTGGTAGCTAGTGACTGACGGGGTGGGAAATATTCACTGGAATAGTAGTGGGCACAGAGAGGAGGTTTTACCCACTCTTCCCATGCCACTATCTCCTCCTCACCCCCATGCCTACCTGTACTTATTTATTCAGTTATTTGTGGTGCATTCCTAAGCAAGTTTAGACAGGGAAAAAAGGCCTACATGTCCCAGCATACCTGAGCTTCCCCATCAAAATTTTGTAGGGCTGCACCTTTATTATTTTAAACCTGATGTGGTTGATAAAGCCACATTTAGCAATTGTATCTAGTTTGGCTCTCAGACATATCTAACTTGTGATAGGATGAATACAATTGCGAGGGTGATGAAAGGTGACATTTCTTCAAATACTGCATGGCCATACGGTGGGATTTGCTACTGTAAGATATAGGCCTGGTAGTTCACACATAATGCTAATCTATGGGTGAACCCCTTTGGGATGCCCCTTCAGGATGTCAGGAGCTTGGGGATGGCTTCCTGGTTGTCCCTCACCACCCTCCTGCCTTTGTAGGCCTATGCCTGGGGGCCTGGTTGAAAGGGCATCTATGGGGCCAGGTGGGAGAGGGTGGGGGCCCAGTTAGCATAGTGACACGTAGAGGAGTACGGTGCTGGGAGGAGGACTGGCCAGGTAAGGGGGATGCATCCCAAACAGCTTACAGCTATGCCACATCCCAGTCCTCCCCACACCCATGGGTTTGATGGTTGCTATGTAAACTGGCCCTTGGGTCCCCAGATGCTGCTTCTAAATGCCACATTGGTGCAGAATAAAAGCTTCTTCATCCAAGATTTAATTATGGAATCGACAGCTGATCTGGCATGTATAACCAAGACCCGGGTGGGTGAACAGGGAGGAGTTAGTTTCTGAGTTGTGCTCACCTGGGTACTTGGTTTAGCATCAGAGTAGACGTGAGGGTGGAGAGTGAGGATTGCCATGGTCTATAGGAATTCTCTCTCTCCAGATGCCCTGCCCATCCAATGACTAGTCTGGTGTTTGCACCTTTTGTTGAACCAGTGGGTCAGATTGGGAGTTTTGCCCACCCAGCAACTCATTAGTCTTCCTACTTGAGCTGACAAAGGTGCTCTTGGATGTGATGTTGGAGTCCCCAAGGCTGTTGATCCTGGGGGACTTCAACATTCATGCTGAGTACACCCTATTTGGAGTGACTTGGGATTTCATATTCACCATGACAACCATGGGGCTGTCCCAACATGTCAATGGCCCACTGGCATGTGGCTGGGCATACTCTAGACGTGGTCTTCTTGGCAAGATTTGAGGTTGGTGCTCTGAGTGTGGGGGACTTTGACTCAGTCCCTTTGTCATGGCCCGATCACTGCCTGCTGAGATTTAGACTTACGGCAGTTTTTCCGCTCTGCAAGGGTGGGGGACCTATTAAGATGGTCTGCCCGCAGAGGCTAAAAGACCTGGATGGTTTCCAGAAGGCTCTGGGAGATTTTCTGGCTGACATAACTAGCACTCGGGTTGAAGTCCTGATTGCTCTGTGAATACAGAAATGACCCACGGCTGCTATGATTGCTCCTAAGCACCCTCTCTGTTGTACAGCTCACAAAGCTCCAGGGTATACCCTGGAGCTGAGAGTGATGAAACAATTTAGTAGATGGCTGGAGTGCAGATAGAGGAGAACTCCTAGTGAATGCAACAGAAACCTGGTATGTGCTTACAACTGGATATATTTTGAGGCAGTGAAGGCAGCAAAGAAATAATACCTGCAGCTGGTAAAGAATGTGGCAGCCAGATTAAGAACTGAGACACAGAGGTCTGAACATATAAGATCAGTTCTGGCCTGCCTGCATTGGCTGCCTGTATGCTTCTGGTCCCATTCAAGCTGCTGGTCTTAACCTACAAAGCCCTACATGGCTTGGGACTGCAATACCTGTCAGAGCACCTCTCCCAACCCTGATCTCCTTGGACACGACACTCAGCCTCTGGGGCCTTCCTCCAGGTGACAGCCCCTTGAGAGGCTCAGAGGGTGGCAACTAGGTGGAGGGCCATTTCTGTGGCACCCCCCCCCCCTTGGAACAGTCTTCCTGCTGCAGTTCACTTGACACCAAATTTGGGACAGCCCTCTTTGCAAAGTCCTTTAAAGACCTCCCTGGTCATTCACGGCCCTGTCACAATTAGCCAGATGCCTTTCTTTTATTCTTGGTTGGGTCTTTTTATTGTTTTTTTTTTAAGTTTTTAATGATATTTTAAATTAATTTTAATTCTTGCTAATGTTTTGATCTATTTTATTGTTTTTATACTTTGTTGAAAACTACCCAGAGAGCTTAGCTATGGGCAGTATAAAATGAAATAAACAATACATAATAATTGTTAAATAACTCAAGAGGTTGGAACCCCACCCCACCATAAAGCAAGGGGGCTCTTTCCAGGTTGCTCATGGTTATCTGACCATAGTTTCTTCATACAGCCACACTCACCCATCACAAGAATTCAGAATGCAACAACACCCATACCACAGGTTAGCATTACGTGTGATTCAGGCCACTGAGTCAGTCACCAAGTTAGGTGGCTTTAAAAGGAAGATTCATGGAGGGTATGGCTATCAATGGCTGCCGGTCATGATGGCTATATATCACCTCCAGTATGTGAGGCAGTATGCCTTTCCAAACCACTTGCATAAAGAGTAAAAAACCAAAACTGGTCCACAATAAGGAAGTACTATTGTATTCATGACCTGCTTGTCAGCTTTCAAGAAGCATTTGGTTGACCACGGTGCAAACAGAATGCTTAGGCAGGCCTTTGGTTCAACCCACCAGGGCTCTTTTCATGTCTTTATGATCTTAAAATGTTTCTATCTTTAAAGCATTTTTTTAAAAAAATCCATCCTAAGGAAGACAACCTTATAACTCAAAAGCTCACATACCATACTTTGAACACTGATTGATCCTAAGAAATAGTTTCATATGACTGAATCTGAGAATTCTGTTCAAACCAGTCAATACATTTAGTTGATTTTGATTTAGGAATAGATCCTTACCTGTTCTGGATTATATTTTGCTAGAATACCATCCCCATGGAACTCTTCCAAGACATCTTTCAGTTTCTTAGTAGAATCTAGAAGGATAGCAATATTTTTAAGAAATTTAGTCAAGTGCTAACTATTTCTCTAGAGGTTCCTTGCAGTTTGTCAAGCTTAGGAAAGATTATTTACAACCATGGCAATGTCTTGATTAGACAAAGTTGTAAAAGTCATAGCAGGCACTGTAATTTCAAGGGAATCCAGTCCACTCTGCTTTTCTTTAAAGGGTTTTTAATGGACTCACAAATGTGTTAGCAACCTAATCCCTGTATTTACAATACCCCAGATGTTTATTTGAAGAAGCAAGCTTGCAATGAAAAGAATCTGACTTTAGTATTATTGAGGGAACAGAGGAAAGCTGCCTTCTTAGTGAGATCTGCCAGATGTTGGACCAAAATTTTGTCCACAAAAAGCAGTTCCAAACAGGAAAAAAGCCCAGTTTCATGCAAATTACACAAGTCGGAGGGTCTGTGATGTGCAGTGTATTGGATTAATGCTAGGGAGATATGGGTTCAAATATTCACTCTACCATGAAGTTCCTTGGGCGAGCTCAGTTCAACCATACCTCCCTGAGCATAACTTATTTCTCAGGGTTTCTATGCATATAAAATGCAGGAGGTGTCCCTAGGAGAAAAGATCATGTAATCTAAACCCAATAATTAATCACAAGTTCATTTTGCATGCACTTGAAAGCTGTGGCCAAGAAATGCTTTCTCTATATATAGACAGTGATATAGACATGTATGATTGTCCCTGTGCGATTATCTACATTCAGATAGCCAGATTTTCCCTGCATGGAAGTATTTCTGTTGCAAATATTTTATGACTGAAATGTCACTCAGAATTAGGTCAGAACTGAAGCTGCAGGGCACTCCTTATAGTTTTCCTCTTCCATGATCCCCACCCCCCACCCCTCTGCACAGCTCTTTTTAAAAGAAGTGCAAACGTTTTGGTTATTTTTGCCCTTCAAGCAGTGAGGGCGGAGGAAAGTTGCCCCATTGCAAACATGCAGCCTGCCTGTGCCCGCCTACACCTGGCACCCAGGTGGCAGCTCTTTTGTCAGCCTTGTTATGCTCCCGAGAGCTGCAGCTTTGCCATCCTTGCCCCCACACCATGTCCTTCTTCTGAGAAACACTGAAGTTTCCACATAGACAATGCTATTTGACAGAACAGATGTCACACAGCCAATCCCATTTTACTGGTGGAATCACTTTCTCTCCTGGGGAAAATGGGGCAGGCAGGCTGGCCGGCCCTACTGACACAGGTGTGCTCTGTGGGGCTGAGAAATGCTTGATTGAACCTTTCTGCCTTTTTCAAAGTCCATGCCCTCAACATAGATGCTTGCTGCCATGCCCTCTTTCCCGCCAATGGTGACTGCAATTGGTCCTATGAGCATTTTCAGTGTACCTATCCCTTTCCTGAACTACTTGGCGAGGAGGACTTGGATGTGGCTTGACTATCCACAACCCGCAAAGGGCAGAGTTAATTTAACACCATGCAATAGAATCTTCCAATATTTCTACTGATAAAACTATATGAGAAGGACTCTTTTGTAAGATGCCTTGATGGAAGCCAGTTCTTTTTTTAATCCTCCTTGCTAGGGTCTCAGAATTTCAGGAGGTGAAACATCCAAGCAAGTTCATGGCTCAGCTTGCCCTGGATTAGGAAGTCAGTCCCAAAGGATCAAAACAGACTGAAACGCCAGAGGAAAATGCTCAAAAGTAGGATTTGGCTTTTAGATGTCTGAAGATGCTTCTAAAAATAAAATAGGGAACTGTGCAAATGCTCAAGATCTCAACTCTTAACTGGTAATGAATGTTGCAATGTTTGGACTGGAGCCTCTACAAGATTACATTCAGGGCAATAAGGTCAGGGAGAAGAAATTGTTCTGAATATTTTCACCCCACAGGCTTTATACCATCCCTTACAAAAAATTTCCTATCAGCCACAAGGATACTGCTTGTATGGACAGGACAGACAAATCTACCCACTCTTTTGCATTTGGCTCCATCCCAGTTGGGATCTGAATAGCTCTTGATGGGGCTAATACCTCTCCTTCCCCTCTTGGCTGCATTTTAGGATTTTTCCAGAGCAAGGGCTCTTAGCATGCAGAAGACATTCTGCAGCCACCCCATCTTTTCCCCCTTAACAGATTTTGCCTTTTAATGGAAAGGAAAAATGGAAGAAGTATGATGTCATCAAGCAGGAGACCTTTCAGAAATCAATGGACTGAATCTGCAATCTGATGTGGGCATTTCAGACTTCCAAGGCACCTTGGCTATATTACCCTTCCACCACTGCTCAAGGTGTCTCATGGAAGCACAACTCAGAAAAGGTGTGCCTTTACACCAGGACAATTGAATTATCCAAACACTTAGCTTTATGTAAGCCCAAGGGAGCTGTTTTACAGTATTTCAAGCCTGAATTGCCCTAATGCCCTTTGAAGCACCCTGTGAAAATATTGCTTGGCTAACATTTCTCTTACTCCGTACTATTTACCCCCCTCCCCCATTACAAAGGGCTTTCAGGGAGTTGACCAACTGCACCTGTATTCTTTGGCTTTGGCCGTATATTGGTGTATGGCCACCCTTACAAGCTGCTGGGCTGGAAGGGCCAAAATCCTTTAATGAAATCTCAGCAGGTGATGGAGTTTTCTTCCCTAGGATTTGTGATATTGTAATATTTCACACTTGAGTCTTTGGTGATTGGTGATTGTACCAGACTTATGAAAAGGTTTTTGTTTTTTGTTTTAGCCTCTACCTTCTACATCCTTGAAGCTAACGAAGTGCATGATATTGGCAACATCAATAGTCCACAACAAAATGAGACAGGTATAGTACTTACAATCAGAATACTGCTGGAGCTGAGCAAATTCTGCTGGACTAAGCGTGATCCATGTGCCATCACTCATCTTTCAGGTGTGGTCTGAGGAGGCTGTGCCCACCTCCTGTAAAGGGCCTTGGAGGAACTGCACCTCTGGAACTAGGGATTCTTTTGGGTCATGGCTGCAGATTGGATGCGTAGATACCTACTGAGTCTGTGTCACTGTCATTATCATCAGACACTCACAGCAAAACTCACATCTGGATCCACAGGAATGTTGCTGTTCCCAGTTCCTTCAGAGCCATCCTTATAAACACCATATCAAGGAATGCCATCAGAAAATACTTGACCGAGAATGCAATTGTATCGAAGCCTAAAAACAAGATGTGCAAATTATAGAATTGCATGCATTTTATTTCAGATGCTTCCATTTAATTGGTTTTCAGGAAAAAGAAGACAGAAATGACTTACTTGAGTATTTATAAGTAAATAAGCTTACTTATCAATAACCTGGAAAAGAAATGAGGAGCCATAAACACACTAGAATTCCTACAATAAAACAAATTTTTCCCAAGGTGGAACAGCCTTCCCTAAGCTAGTGACTGCCATGCTGGCTAGGAATGGTGGAAGACAGAAACAGAGAAACAGAGTGCATCAGAAGGGGCCTCCTGGGCCATCCAGTCTGACCCCCAGTTTCAGCTGGCTCTGCTCATGACATGCCTACCATGTGCATGGTGGTTTGGTTTGGTTTTTTGGCCAGGTTGGATGGACAGTGATATTGATCTGAAAGTGTTACAACATCCTAAAGAAATGAAATAATCTCTTAGCTATGAACCCAGTTGGACAATGAAAGACACTTTGAAGCAGGAACCATCTAGCTCAGTTGTTTGAATCTAAGCAGCAGATTACAGTTTCAAAAAATGCATAACAGCTCTGAAATGTGAAAAATCCCTCATGATTTGCTAGAGGGAATGTGCTAGAACCGAGTCCATTTCCTTAAATCATTTATGCCTGATAGCTGTGGCACTGGCATTTAATGTCACACCTAGCAGAAAAAGGAGCAGTTGTGTGCATGAAAACAAATCCCACCATCCTGTTTAAAATTAAACCTTGTGCAAAAATCAGATCAAGCAAACTTCTCCTAAACCTTTCTATAGTACCCTGGAATTTGCAGTACAGCGACTGATGTCCCTAAGATGTTTTGTTCTCTTCTAATTTACTATTTAAAGGATGCAAAACAAAGTGCATCCTTTGTGATGGTCCATCCAGATAGTATGCTACATCTGCAGGGACCACTTAGGGCTTTTCTCCACGAGGCTGTTCATCACTGTATCTAACTTTTGGGGTTGTCAGTGTTGAGATCTGAGCTCTACGGAATGAACTCTTCCTTTCCTGCTTTTCCATCACCTAACCTCTAGGTGGAGCTAAACCATAGCACACTAGCTCAACCACAAAAGGCGTACTGGCACTGTTTCCTCAATGTAATATAATACCCCATTTTCCCCATTCTAATAAAACCCAGAAAAGTGCTCTGAAAAACAAAAGTGAAACTGGAGGCTCATGACATCATCTAAAGAACCCATAAACAACCATATGCAAGGAATCACAAATGCCACATGTAGAAATGTCAATGGAAACCACCATCCAATGGTATTTAACTGTTTGACGGGAGCTAGCATGTCAGTCTACTCTGTTTCAACTGTTCAATTGTTTTTAAATTTTGCATTTTGAATTTTTGTGGGGTTTCAGCACATTGTCTGGTCTTAATGAACTGGTGTAAACTGTCCAGAGGACTTCAGCCATTGGTTAGCATAGAAATTAAAATAATAATCGCAATCATCCTATTTATACAAGATCCAGAAAGCATTTCCACCATAGGGGAACTTTCATATCTCTGGGGTTCAAAACATTAAAATGAACTGCTTCAAACTCCTTTCCTGGCCAACTCAAATGTTTGTGTGTATACTGTACCTACAGCCACTGTGTATTCCTGGCAATATACCGTTAGAAAAGCCCCTCCATTTGTACACAAGGACTTTCCTAATATCTTGTTATTTCAGAAATTATTTTTCCTGCATATACTCCCTCTCTCTGTATTGTGTGGGTGGGATTCCATGCAAGTCTTCGAGGGCACCCACTGAAACATTTGAGAAATGTTTAGATACAGCCCTATGCGCTAACTCCCACATCAAGACGGTCCTTGGGCAGCAAGGCTTCCTTACTTCCTCCTTATTCTGTGCACAGAGTCTTATTCTTTGTACATTATTTCAGTTTAACACTGAAAGCCACAATCATGATGAAAACAGATTAAATATCAGAGAAAATGGCTAGCATGATGTTTAGAGAAAAAGGCATGCTTCCTCTGGGAAAGGGGCATCTATAAAGGCCTGGGCAACCACAGCCTCAGGAATGCTGCCCATGGGCAGAATTCAATTCCTTTGCAATTCTTTGAGGCTACCTGGCATTGCACTGGTGGAGGAAGGGCAGGAGAAAGAGCACAGGAATCTAAGGCCCTTTCAAAGTGCACATCCAGGGGAAGCCAGGAGCAAAGCTGGGCCTGAACAGGTCCCACAAATCACAGTGCTGGTGCAACAAATATGCACCGCATGACAGACTGAAGTGTCAAGCAGTTTGGCAGCTTTCACTGGGGACAGGAGAAATGGGTGAACTCTCCTGCTGCAAATCAGGGCAATTCGGTCACTACGTGCTGTGCCAGAGACAGTGGCAGAGTGACAAATTTTGAAATGCAGGTGCACATCATGGCAGTCTTCATGGCTGCACCTCCAAGGAGAGTGAAAAAATGTTGGCCGTCGGTGTGGAGCCTTATTAACTAACCACTTTTGCACTTTTATCTCTACCATGAACAGGTGTTTCAGGAAATGAATAAGGCTCCACTGCACAGTTGAAACCAAGCCAGCCCTGAATACTTTGGATTTTAAAAGGGTATTATGATTGCTGCCAGGAAAATAACCCCCCTCCCCTGCTGCTGTGATGATTGTAGCGAAGCTCAAAGGAAGCATCTGAAGGGTGGGGTGGCAAATGACTTCAGCATCCCAGCTTATAAAAAGTGCTGGCACTGCATCCCTGGCCACAGGAGTTGCCACAAGTGTGGGAGACGGCAGGAAGGCAGGCAGGTTCCCAGAAAAATAGGCCTCCTTGGCACAAAAATGAGGCCTCACACTTTTACCAGGTTTGTAATCAGGCCTAAATATTTCAGAGATGGGGGACAGAAAATGCTCACTGTCTGCACAGATAAAACAAAACCTTGTAAAATCTCCAGTTCAAACATCCATGCCCTAGTCTCTGTTCAAAGTTGCATTCCCTCTCTGGCATTTAGAAGGGCTAGGTGAGCCACTGTTCTGAAAGAAAGGGGTGGGCTAATTTTAGAAACAGGCAGTACCATCATATCATGGATGAAGTGTGAGAAGGATGGATGGAGGGAGGAGGATGGATTAGCAGAGCTGTATTAAAAATCAGTGTCCATGATTCTAATTGGATTTCCTTGTCAGTGTTGTGCCTGATCCAGGTGTGGAGTGAGCTGCCTGCCTTCCACACTGAGGCTATCGTCCCACTGCTATTGCCTCCAGCTGCTCTTGCTCCTCATCCTTGCTCTGCTCTTTGGTAGTGTTTGCTCATCTTGCTGGGAGAGAACCAGGGAGCAAATAAGCAGTGGCATCTGCTGCCGCTGCTGCTTCTCCTCCCCATCACCGTCATTTTGACCAGGCAAGATGCAGGAGAGGGGCAGGCTGCTGAGGCAAAGAGGAGACTTCAGGAGCTGTTCTCAGTGGGCCTCTGCTGAGAAATGGGCCCTTGGCAGGTGCCCAGCCATGCCTTCCCTTGACACCAGCACTGTTTGAAGCACCTCTGTTCTCAAAGAAAGGATGGCTTTTTGCCTCGGCCCCAGCTACTCCCATCCCACTGTGACAATGGCCAAAGGCTTTTCTTCATCCCCTGTATGCATTTAGCCTGTAACAGCCTGGTCTGCACTTGCCTCCAAAGGGGGTTGTGTGTTAACAAACTGAACACAGCAATGCCTCTAAAAATGGATCTATTGTGGATCTAAACGGGTCCAACTCAAAACACATTAAGCAATACTGAGTAGTTCTACCAGGATGCATTTCAGGGAGAGGTGAGACATCAGCATGCTTGGAACCAATCGTTGCCCCCAACTTTATGCCTGCCTTGCTTCTAGGGGTGCCTTTGCAAGATGTTGCTCACATGCACTGAGTTGTTCAGCCTTCAGACCTCTTCTCTGGGCCTCTAGACTGGGGCTCCGGGGAGGCTGAAGACTGAGCCGCTCTAGTGCACATCAGTGAATGTGTACTGCAGGCAGGGGTGGCTCAAGGCCTCAGGGGTGCTGCCTGAGGCAAAGGAGGACATTTTACCATCTTCTTAGTCTACATACAGAAGCTGGCTGGACCGGCTGCTGAGCCTCACTTTGGCACTGGCGGTGGGATAGTGCCTTCCACCACCTGAGACAGCAGGCTAGCTTAGGGGCCCCAGGTTGTATAGCAGATGTAACTCTGTCCTGCAACAGGGGAGAACCACAAGAGGATTCATGAGGAACAGCCAGGAGACCATCACCCTTGTCCACCAGCATCTGCCGCCTGCAGTCACCTCCCTCTGCCCAATGGTACGGTCAGCCACGGAAGGACGAAACAGTGCTGATATTGACTTAAAGAGATTTTAAAGTAGGGCATAAGTGTAGCCATGAGCACCATATTAAACCTTCAATGCACCATAAATCACAGCACTTACATAAGTAGCTCATGTATAAACTTGCTTGGATATAAGTATATTATTTGAAAACAGATCAGTATGAAGGTTTTCAATATCTATTTCTTGATGGGGACAGCTAAAACACAATTTTCAGGATGAAAAATGAAAAATGAACTACAAATGAACTTTAACAATAAAGGAAGAGGACAAGGCCTTAGAGCCAGCTATTTTAAACAGCTAAGGATTCCCCAAGAGATTCACATATTTATAGGCTGCCTATAACTGCCAAAAGGCCTTCCTAGATACTGTACTAATAAAACTGATTTCGACCCTGTGAAATCCTCAGGCTGAGGGTAACCATTTATGAAATTCTAAATCAGCTTATCATTTTATGGTTTCTCCAGTAACTTAAAAAAATCTTGCCACCATCATCCCCCCCCCCCCCCCCCCCCCCCACTACGGTAGAGTCTTCAGTAAAGCTTGTTCTGTCCTGTCGATTCCAGAGTGACCCACATTGCATCCACTTTCTTATTGGTGAAAAAAGGGGGAGATTTGGGGGACAAATCTACAGAGCTCTGTACAGACATTGGCCTCCAGAAGTATGCAAAATGAAATAAGCTGCATATGCATGGACTCTCTTTATGGTTTGGAACT